TGGTGGCTAGTGGCTAGTGGGTACGTCAAGCCGCGTGCTCTCGGTCTTGCTTCGAGTTCGTCAGTTGCTTAGGGAAGGAACGCCAAGCCGCGTTGCCTGTTATGCCTGTTTTGGGCGTTGTGACTCTTTTCTCAGTTGTGTCAGGTGAGACAAGGGGGTGAGGCCAGGACGCCTGGTTTTTGGTTGGATTTTGGGTGGCAGCGTACTTCGCCGTGCCTGCTGCTGGTGCCTTTTCTGTGGCGGAGGCTTGACTATTGCCGCTTTCGTGGCCTGCCTGCCTGAATTGGGGGTGGGTTTGCTGTGCTTGGTTTGCCGGTTGACCCGTGGGTCGGTGCACCTTAGGCTCTGACCGCCTGAGTGCCGCTCGTGCTGGCTCTATGGCTGGCTTGGTAGCTGGTTTCGTGAACCTGAGGATTGCTGCGTGGATTTCCGTGCGGCGTGGTATGCGCGCGTTTCAGTGGCCAGACGTGCGAGCCTTGGATTTTCCTGTGGAGTTGACTGTCGTACCCGCTGCCGGTAGCAGTGTGACTTGGGGTGTCCTGGGCTGTTGTTCCGCCCTTGCGTCGTCGAGGTCCTCGGTCGGGGGGGGGAAGGTTCCACCCCATGTCATGATTTGGCATGTTTCATCGCTGGAGCATGACAGCTGTCGTGTGCAAGTCGTGTTCCTAGGACCAACCGTCCAACTGTCTTGCCGAAGTTGGAAGAAGAGACGCCTGCGGTGTTTATTGGTTGCTTTACGTATAGCGGTTTATTGGTTATCCGCTTGCTTTGCCAGTGTTTGCGATGCGCTTGCCCGTATCTCGCGATTTGGTCGTTAGTTCGTTGCCTTCCCTGGAGTCGTAGATCTTGGGCCGGCTTGTTTGTTCCCGAGAGCGCCTGGTTCGGCGCTTCTCGGGGCCTCACAGTGCTACACCGCACGGCAACATTTACAGTCCGTAATCGTTGTTAGAGTCCAACGAAAGCCTACTATACTGACCGTGCATAGCGCTACCAGCTGCGTCGCAATAGCCGGCTTGGCCAGCCCTATCGCGTAGCACCTATCTAGCACACCAGCCTGCTATTTAGTAGCCGTATCAGCGCCGGCAATCGGAGCGTGGGGCCTCAGCCGCCTACTTACTTCGGGCCTCTGCGACGTCGTGGCGCGTCGCACCGCTTACAGTATCGCCTACATCCTATAGGGGTTACCGGGCGGTGCCTTTGGCTACCACATCCCGGTGCGGAGTGTCCCTCAGCCACACTTCGCGTCAGCATAAGGCCTCATTCTCAGGCAGCTGACTAATCCCTGGTGCTCCTTGCCGGCACCATCCATTCAACAATTCAAGCATAGGATTGTTGTTTGGTCAACCCGCTCCTCAGGTTCCACCCCATGTCATGATTTGGCATGTTTCATCGCTGGAGCATGACAGGCCGCAGCTTCACGTAAGCTGCTTACGTGAAGCTACGGCCCACGAAGTCCCAGATGGCAGCCAAGATAAACACCACCCCTCCTGCCAGCTCGGCCGTGGTACCAAAGGGCAGTAGGTGAACCTGGAGGAAGAATACATGCGGCCAGCTTGACGGTCAAGGCGTCCCTAAACTAATGTAATAGCTATACTGACAACACTGCACTGACCAACGTAGTGTATGCGCAAGCGGAAACAATACAGTTTTGGCATGGCTGTAAACGCACATTTTGCTTCACTGCTGCATGGCCGAACAGCGCAATCGTGCACACAATGTAGATGATTTGGATGGAAGAGATGCGCGCCTTCTTCTCAACGGAGGCCTCCACAGAAGGACCGTTGGCGCTATCCCAAGCAGCCATTGCAACCGTATGCCCACGCTTTCGCACCATCGCTGATGAACCGGTCAGGGTGGTGGTGTCTGGTAGTTATCGGCGAGACGGGCAGCGGCAAGACCACCCAGATGACGCAGTACTTGGGCGAGGCGGGGTACACGGCGGGGGGGCGCATCGGCTGCATGCAGCCGCGACGTGTGGCGGCCATGAGTGTGGCCAAGCGTGTGGCGGAGGAGTTTGGGTGCAGGCTGGGGGAGGAGGTAAGGAGGAGGAGGGAGGGGGGAGAGGGGTTCATAGGGATACATATTCCCAGCATATTCCACGGGAGAGGTGTGGGGAAGGGGTGAGGAAGTGCAACCTCCGTGTTAAGCTGGTGCGTGTTCGGGAAGGCTGCCTGGATGCTGCTGCTGTGGTGCTTTCGTTTGGTACTCCTCCCTCCCTTCCCTCCCTCCTCTACGTCTTATAACCCTATCTTTGTATTTGCGGCACCCTGCCGCCTCCTATCCCCATTGCCTTGCTCGGTGGTTTTCATGTATTCAGTGTGGTCGTTGATCCCCCCTTCCCTCCCCCCCGCTCCCTCCCCTCACCCCCCCCCTTCCTTCCCCTCTCCCCCCCCCAGGTTGGCTACGCCATCCGTTTCGAGGACTGCACGGGCCCCGAGACCGTCATAAAGTACATGACCGACGGTATGCTGCTGCATGAGTGCCTGCTGGACGAGCAGCTGGCAGCCTACAGCATCATTGTGCTGGATGAGGCACACGAGCGCACCATACACACGGACGTGCTGTTCGGGCTGATGAAGGAGGTGAGGGGGGGAGGAGGAGGAGACGGGGTATAACTAAGGAAAACTGACGAACTGGATGACAAGGCTTCATCATGGAGGGTGGGGGGGGGGTACATACGCGGTGAAGGGGTTAGCGCAGAGGAGCTGCAAGGGGGAGGGGGAGTTGGTGTTAATAGCTTGAAACACCGTTGTATATTAACTTATGTAGATTGCGCTTGCGGGAGGATGCCACACCCTCTAAAACACTGTGCCCCCCTCCTCACCCTCCACCCCCCGCCCCCGCCCCCCTCACAGGTGTGTCGCAAGCGCTCTGACTTCAAGCTCATCGTCACCTCCGCCACCCTGGATGCGGAGAATTTCTCCTCCTACTTCTTCGATGCGCCCATCTTCACCATCCCGGGGCGCACCTACCCCGTGGAGGTGCTGTACACAAAGGTAAGGGGAGGGGGGGAGGAGGGGATTAGGTGCACTGAGGGAGGAGGAGGAGGAGGAGGAGGGTGAAAAGGGGAAACTGACGAGGAGGGAGGCGGAGAAGGAGGATGATGGGGGGGAAATAAGGAACCCATGTTTATAGACTAGAGTAAGGGACCAAGCTACACATGGGCTACGGCAGGCGCGCGTGCTCAGCTTGGCATGCACCGTACCCTCACCGCTCCCTCCTTACTCCTTACTCCTTCCTCTTACGGGCATGTCATCCCAGCTATCCACCTGTTCTGTTGCACTTATCTATAATTTCCCCCCTCCCCCCCCAGGCCCCCGAGCCCGACTACCTGGATGCGGCCCTCATCACGGTGCTGCAGATCCACCTGTCGGAGCCCGAGGGAGACCTGCTGCTCTTCCTGACGGGCCAGGAGGAGATCGAAACCGCATGCCAGATCCTGTACGAACGCATCAAGGCACTGGGACCTGCCGTACCCGAGCTGATCGTGCTGCCGGTGTTCTCGGCGCTGCCCTCGGAGATTCAGGTGGGGGCGGGTGGTGGGGGGGCGCTGGGGGGGGTTAAGTTGAACAGAAAATAACAAAGTAGCCGGGGTAGGATGGCGGAGAGGGGGGTGTTAGGGATGCCGCTGCCTCCCACCCCATCCCACTGTCGCGTCGTCTTCCTCGTGTTTTCCTTGCTTATGTACCGTAGTCTTAACCCGCCGCTCCCCCCCCCCAACCCGATTGGGGGGATTGGGGATTGGGATTGCGTTGTTGCATTTATTTATAATTTCCCCCCCCCCAACCCGCCCCAATAGGAACCCCTACCACGCCATATTCGCATGTTTTTCGTTTCCTGTCTCGCCTCCTGACTGTTACTTAACACCTCCTTAACGCACCCTACCTCTCTTTCTTCCCTATTTCTTCCGCATAATGACAACCTCTTCCTACGGGACACTGGACACGACCCTGGTGCGGCTCTGTTGGTCTGCGCCTCCAATCCATCGGACCCTGGCAATTGGCTTTCCCTTTCCAGGTAAGTTTCCCGTACCGCGTCTCGATAACATGTGTGCTCGTATACCCCATATGCGTGTTGCTTTGCTTTTCGTGACCGGCGGCGCGGCGCATGTCTCCCTAGTGTTACCACGCAAGGCGGCTTCTTCCTCAAGTCGTCTCGGTTTACGGTAAGCATGGTACCGGAATACGGTCTTTGACCCCTTCCCCTCCCCTCCTCCCCTCACTGCTCCCCCCCCCCATGCAGGTGTACAATCCCAAGAACGGCATGGACAGTCTGGTGGTGGCGCCCATCAGCCAGGCCAGCGCCAAGCAGCGCGCGGGGCGGGCGGGGCGCACGGGCCCCGGCAAGTGCTACCGCCTGTACACGGAGGCGGCCTACAAGAACGAGATGCTGCCGCTGAGCGTGCCGGAGATACAGCGGACAAACCTGGCCATGTGAGAGGGGGGGAGGGGAAGGGGAAGGGGAGGGGGAGGGGGGGTGTAAAGGGAGGACACACTGGCAAGAAGCTGTATGACACATGCTTCACCAGGGAGGGGGGATGCAGGCATGGTAGCCGGCCCATGGGAGCGACCGAGCGCATCGAGGTTTCTGTCCTCCGTCTTTTGCCGACCTTCACTCTCCTCCCTCCCCTCCCCTCCCCTCCCCTGCCCCCCCCTGCAGGACGGTGCTGACGCTCAAGGCCATGGGCATCAACGACCTGCTTGGGTTCGACTTCATGGACCCGCCCCCCGCATCCACACTGGTGTCGGCACTGGAGCAGCTGTACAACCTGGGGGCGCTGGACGAGGAGGTGGGGGGAGGGGGGAAAATAGAAATTCCAATGTGTGGTGTGATAATGATACAAGTTATAAGGAGGGGGGGAGGGGGGGAAATAGATGGACAGTGAAGCCACGGAGTCCCAATGGGGGCGGGTGGGTGGGGGAAGGAGGGAGGAAACTGACGAGCTGTATGACGACGTTGACGAGTCATGTGTGTGTATGTGTGTGTGGGGGGGGGCAGGATAAGTGATAAGTGCAGCAACTGTAGTCCCAATCCCATATCCCGACTCGTACGCAGTGAGCGCATGCGGAAGCACGAGGGAGGGGAAGGGGGGTTTCAGAGAGGATTTTTTCATTCACTATGCATCATTCTTCGTCCCCCCCCCCAGGGCCTGCTGACCAAGCTGGGTCGCAAGATGGCTGAGTTCCCTCTGGAGCCGCCCATGAGCAAGGTGCTGATCGCGAGTGTGGACCTGGGGTGCAGCGAGGAGATCCTCACCATCCTGGCAATGCTGTCCGCGCAAAACATATTTTACAGGCCACGGGAGAAGCAGGCGCAGGTGGGGGGGGATGCGGTGGCGGGGGTGGAGGAGGTGGATCGCAAGGGAGTTGGATGGCAGCTGTGTGCTGACGGGTGGTGTGGGAAGGCATAGGTGGTGAGAGCGGCGGCGTTCCTTCCTCTTCCTCTCCTCCCCTCCTTGTTAACCCAACAAGTGTGACTAGGTGCAACTCAAAAATCCAGCATAATGCGGGAATATGTATTCCTATTAATCCCCTCCTTACCTTTGTCAATCAACACATTGGGTATCCTCCCCCCCCTCCCTTCCCCCCTCCCCCTCCCTGCCCCCCCCCAGGCCGACCAGCGCAAGGCCAAGTTCTACCAGCCCGAGGGCGACCACCTCACCCTGCTGGCGGTGTACGAGCAGTGGAAGGCGGCAAAGTTCAGTGTGCCCTGGTGCAAGGAAAACTTCATCCAGGTGAGGGCGGGAGGAGTCCCAAGGGGGTGCCGGGCCGCTTACACAGCTTTACCTACATGTGCTTGGTTAGGTGCATCGCCTCCTCCCTATCGTGATTCCTTCTATACCGGTATCGTGTCCTCTGGCGTCTCCAAGCAAATTTCAACCCGCGCCCCTCCTTTCTTACCCCCTCGCCCCCCTTCCGTCTCCTCCCCCACCTCCCGCCCCCCCCCCAGGACCGCTCCATGAAGCGCGCTCAGGACGTTCGCAAGCAGCTGCTCGCCATCATGGACCGCTACAAGCTGGAGCAGGTGTCGGCAGGGCGCAACTACACCAAGATCTGCAAGGCCATCACCTCGGGCTTCTTCTTCCACACGGCCCGCAAGGACCCGCAGGAGGGCTACAAGACGGTGGTGGAGCAGCAGCCCGTCTTCATCCACCCCTCCTCCTCGCTCTTCCAGCAGCAGCCCGACTGGGTGCTCTACCACGAGCTCATCCTCACCACCAAGGAGTACATGCGCGAGGTGCTGGCCATCGACCCCAGGTGGCTGCCCGAGCTGGCGCCGCGCTTCTTCAAGTGGGTGCGGGGGGATTTCGGGGGGTTTGGAAGGCAGAGGTGTGGGGCTGGGAGGAGCAGGAGTGCTTTTAATCCACTGCTGCCGCGCTTGCTTTATCGGATAGTCGCACAGCATGAATGCTACCTTTCCCCACTCATAGCATACGTACCAAACCCCCACACCTCCCCCCCTGCTCCACTTTTATATAATTTTCCCCCCTGCTCCACAGGCCCGCCGACCCCAACAAGCTCTCCCGCCGCAAGCGCTTCGAGCGCATCGAGCCGCTGTACGACAGGTACAACGACCCCAACGCATGGCGCCTGTCGCGTCGCCGCGGTTAGGGTGGTTGAGGCGGTTGAGGAAGAGGCGGCGGTTGTGGCTTGGGAGGCAGCGATGGAAGCGGGATGCGGGTGGAAGAAAGGTTCTTACGCGGGAGTGGTGGAGGGAAGGGATGCAGGGGTGTGCAGCGGGGGGGGGGCACCGCAGGGTGCTGTTCTGCCAGCCTGGATGCGATGGACGTGCGGTGCGTACTCTGCCCTCCTTGACGGCCAGTCTGCCCGTCTGCCGGTCTGCTATCCCGTCTGTGTGTCTGTCTGCATCTACCAAGACCTGCACTCGCAACTCGCATCGGATGGAGCCATTGTGCCTGCGTACGTGTTTTGCTAGCAGGTTCCCGGTGATGCTGTTGGAGGCGGGAGCGGAAAGGGGTGCATAGCTGGTTAGCTGTGTGCTGAGGTGGTGTACATAGGAGGGCGGTTAGGTGTGTACGGCAGGTGCCGTCGTGTGGCCGGTACTGTACCGCCTCGACTACTACCGGTCCGCAGCATGTGCCTAGTAACAGCACGAGTAGCACCGAACAGGGTTGGGGCTGCATGCAGGCACAACGGCTGTGGTAAAGAACTGGTGCGGTGTCGGCGGCGGGAGGTCAAAGACTGTACCAAACCATGGGAAACCACTGGTTGGGGCAACAGGGCTCAAGTGTAGGTACACGGCGAAGGGAGCTGTAGGGCCCTCTGCTTGGGCGGAGGCTGAGGTGGAAGGTGCATGGTGACCATCCTAACTAGCTAGCGCCTGTTGATTTGCAGTTGGCTTGGTACCGGTAGTTTTGTTCAGACGTACGGTAGCTGTCCCTTACAGGATTGAACGGTGGGTGCTGGGTGGCCGAGTGTATCGGTTGTGGGACTGGACGGTGACACGGGGGGGGGGTAGCTGTGACAGCGCGATGGGCTCTGTAGCATTAGAAGGACCGAAACATCTACAAGAGGCAAGACCATCATGGCACAGGGTTTGCAAAGCGGCCTGGTGGGGGACTTCCGTGGGTTGGTACGGTAGCTTGCATCGGGCTGTGGACTCTGGAAGTTCGGGGCGCGTTACATGGTAAAGCAGCAAGAGCATATTGGGAAGCGGCTGATCAGGGAGTAACTATCGGGCTGGGCTTTGCTGTAAGGGTAAAGCGCAGAGGCCGTCAATGGGTTGCCGAGTTGCAGGCTGTCATCGGCTCCGAGCTTGCATTACCTGAATATGGCGCGCAGGTTTGCATACGACAAGGTGCGCACACGCCTGAGGTTATTGCAAGTGGAAGTTAGCGCATGCGCAATGGGGCATGCAGAGGCGGGGCAGGGCACCATGCCGCATGTACAAGAGGACCATGTCGAAACTTAGCCCTTGGCCGAAACATACCAGACGGCCTTCTCGCAATTGGCAGAGGTATACACAGTATTCATTCGTTTTATGGACGCTTTAACGCCTTTAAGTAACTCGGAAACGAGTTTAATCGTTGCCGCGTTCGTCGGAAGCCCAACCGACGGAGCGTTGAAGCTCATCCTTCAGAAACACAACAAGCGATAGATTGTATCCTTGGGTAGGTTGGTTCTTTCCATTTCCTACTTGGGTCGTTGGGTGCACACAGCAAAATCGCTCGGCTGCCGTACGAGCTGCGCGCATTTGGCGCGAGACAGGTGCGACCGTTCGCTGTCACAGGTTCCTCAGCTTCCCGGTAGTCGTTATTGCAGCAAAGTAGCTGACTGCTGCAATATAGTGATTTAGGTTGCGGGATGCTTGAGCGCTGAACTTGTGACCCGATGACCATTGCGCCCCTTGCACATTGGCCTAATTTTCATTGCGAACAAAGGAATCGAGTTTTATTAGCTCACTGATACTTTTCTACTAAGCGAAAACGTGTTTCAGGCTTGCCGACGAGATCGCGACAGCCAGCCCAGCCCGGCCTTTTACTTCACAGAATGCAGCTGAAGACCTTACAAATCGTTTGGCATGGAAAGGAGCCCGTGCTTAGCGTTGACTTCCAGCCTAACAGCCATACGTTGGTCTCTGGCGGGCAAGATGGCGAGGTCAAGGTACGCACTGTCCACCGGAGCCCATCCTAACGCCCCTCGCTAACTAATGCAGGAAAGGTGTGCTTAAGTAATGCTCGTACGCGTCTATACTGTTCAACTGGCTTTGAAGCGAAGCAATGAGTCGGTTCCCGCAATGTCTAGGGCATCAGGCGTAACTTGTCCCTGCCTTCTTACTCCCCTGGTAAATTGTCCGCATATTTCACTTCCTCAGCATTGGGAGGTGGTGTCTGAGGACGACGGCAGCCCCGGGGTGCGCTTCATCAGCAGCTACCCCGTGAACAGCAAGTCGGTCAACTGCGTGCGCTTCTCACCCACGGGTGGGTCAACGGAGGGAAGGGGGCGGAGACAAAGGGAGGGCGTGTGGGGTCCGCTAAGGAGCCGGACGATCGGGCATTCATTCCAAACGTTCCTAATCTGCAGGCCTCGCTTGCCGACGGCTACCCTTGAAGCGATGATGTCACGATGTCCCGTTTTCATGTCTGACTTCAGACTGTCTCTCACTTACAAGTACCACGCCACAACAGCTCCTGGCTGCCTCCTGACCCCACCTCCCCAACCGCCCCGCCGCCTCCCCCCCCCCCGCCTGTCCCCCTCCTCCTCTCCTCTCCCCCCAGGCGAGTTGCTAGCCAGTGCGGGCGACAAGGGGGAGGTGCTGCTGTGGCGCTTCACCGCCTTCGCTCCCGGAGCCCCCCAGCCGCGACTGGGGAACCTGGAGGGGGAAGGTGAGGGGCCGGGTGGCTGCTTGCATGCATGTGGGCGCTATGGCCACTCACGGAGCTTGGCGGCCTACCAGCCTAACAAAAAGGCTCCGAGCCGCCCCTTTCACCCTTTCACCTCCCCATGACCGCCTGCCTCTCCCTGCCGCCACCTTCCTCCCGCAGTTGCCGGCGCCTCCTCCCTCCCCTGCTGCCCGGGGAGTAGCACCCCCAGCGGCATGTGGCGCCAGGTGGGGGGGGGGCTCACCACTCAGCACCCGGCTTGCATGTTCATACCGGTACCGCCGTCCCTTTCCTCCTCCTTACTTGCCGTTGTCATTACGCACCACGCGGCTGCACCCGCAGCTTAAATTGCAAAGTCTGGTCGGTTGGTTCCTTTGCGAAGGAACCAACCAGAAATGCCTTACCACATCCCCCGGCATGTCCTGCTGTCATGCTGCTGCCCCCGCTGTCCCCCCTGTGCCTGCCCCGCCCCGCAGGTTGGCAGTCTGCGGGGCCACTGCGACGACGTGCTCGACCTGGCCTGGGCTCCCGACGGCTCGGCGCTGCTGTCCGGCGGCATCGAGAACAACTGTATCCTGTGGGATGTGGAGGGGCGCAAGTCGCTGGTGGGGCGAGGGAGGGGAGGGAGGGGGTGGTTTGCGAGGAGGGAAGGAGGGGAAGGCTGCTGGCATGCAAACATGCTTCATCCAAACTTACCTCCCGGCGGGCCCCGCAGGACGCCCCGATGCATCCGCCTTTCATGTAGCCCTTTCACTACCCGCAGCCTTGCTTTCTAATCCCTTCATACAGCTCCTCCCTCCCCTGGTGCTGCTCCTCCGCAGCAAGACCTGCCCCCCCCACCTCCCGCCGCCCTCCCCCCCGCAGAAGTGGCTTCAGGACCACGGGCACTACGTGCAGGGAGTTGCTTGGGACCCGCTGGGGCGCTACATCGCCTCGCAGTCCGCGGACCGCACCGCGCGGGTGTACTCGGTGAAGCCGCCGCCGGCAGGGGGGGCAGCGGAGGCAGGTGGGGCAGACGGGGGGGTTCGGAGGGTGACGGGGATTGTTTGGGTCGCGAGCCTCAGGGCTGCACCTCCGCTTTTGCACACGAACCTTTACCCTTTCCCCACTCCCCCACTCCCTCTCCTTCCAGCTGGCGGCAAGCGCGCCGCCGCAGCAGCAGGCTCCTCCTCCCTAGCCGCCGCTGCCGCCGCAGCAGCAGCGGGTGCCGGCATCACATCTGCCAGTCTGGCGCGGGAGGGCTTTTACGCAGCGGCCACCCTCGCCAAGGCGCCACTGCACTGCCCCGGACTGCAGCAGCAGCAGCAGCAGGGGAACGGCGAGGGGGCAGCAGGCCCCACCCCGGCGGTTGCTGCCTCCGCCAGTGTCACCAAGCAGCCGCTGTTTAGCGACGACTCGCTGCCCACCTTCTTCCGCCGCCTGGCCTGGTCGCCCGACGGGTCCTTCCTAGCGGCACCTGCGGGGGTGTACAGGTGGGGGGAGAGGCGGGGGGGTGAGGCGCTCTCCACTATAAAAACTATATGGGCCTTTGGGCTTTCAGCAATAAGGTCTCCACGCGTCCTACACCGTTTTGTACCTCAACGACACCACATGGCGTCCCTTCCCAGCGCCCCTCTTTAGGCCCTCTCTCAGGGCCCTATGTCGTTCATGCTCATGCTACCTCCTCCCCCAACCCTCCCCCACCGCGCACAGGGCCGGCCCCGCTGCCCCCCTCACCAGCACCACCCACGTCTTTTCCCGCGGGGAGTGGTGAGTTCTGTTGCCCGGGCCCCGCGGGGAGTGGGGGGGAGGGTAAACACAGTGCGGGGAGGATCAGGAGAGAGGGCTGGCTGGGCCCCCTGGCTCTCCCACTCCCTCCCTCCCGAGGGCTCCTGCGGACTCTTGCATGGGGGAAATGCGCGTCAAATAAGGGGGGAGAGGGGCTTCAGATGCCTACTGCGCTGCATGCAGGAGTCGCTGTTCCGCTGGGCGCTTGATACCGCGCCTTTAACCAACCCCCTTTCTTCCTCCAACCCACCCCACCCCACCCCCTAGGTCGGGCCCGGTGGTCAGTCTGCCCTGCCTCAGCAAGGGAGCCCTGGTGGTGCGATTCTGCCCGCGACTCTTCCGCGCACCACCCCCACCTCCGCAGCAGCACCCCCAGCAGCAACCGCAACCGCAGCTGCCGTACCGAGTCGTACTTGCGGTTGCCTCCGTAGACAGTATGTTGCTGTACGACATGCAATCGCTGGAGCCGCTAGCGGTGCTGGGTGGAATCCACTTTGCCGCGGTGACGGATCTGGCCTGGTCGGATGACGGGCGGTTTCTGGTGGTGGCATCCCGGTGGGGAGGGGATGGAGTGGGGGGTGGAGCTCGGGGCAGGATGGGTAGTGAGGAAGCCAAACCCCGAGGGCCGCCTCTTCTTCCTATGTCTCCCTTGCCTTACTGAATATCGCTGTATGTTTTCTTTTAAACGGTGTCGTGGGTCTGTCTGGCCCCGACAGGGACGGCTACTGCACGCTGTGTTGCTTCGAGGAGGGGGAGCTAGGCCAGCCGGTGCCCCTGGAGGAGCTGCCACCCGGGGTGGCGGCGGCGGTGTCGCGAGCGGCGGCGAGGAGGTATCAGGAACGTACGGCGGCAGCGGCGGCGGCGGCAGCAGCTGGAAAAGCCGCAGCGGCGGCAGCAGCTGCTGCTGCTGCAGCGGCGGTTGGGAGCAGTGTCGTTCGGGATGAAGAAGCGCTGTCCATGATTCAACAGCAGCAGCAGCAACCAGCGGGAGTGGAGGCGGCGGAGGTAACGGCGGCGGGTGCGGCGGCGAGGCCTCAGAAGCGGCGGATACAGCCCGTTGCTGTCACTGCAGCTGTTGCTGCGCCACTGCAGCAGCCGCTGTCAGTAGTCCTCGCAGGACAGCAGCAGCTGCAGCAGCAGCCTTCTGCTGTTGTCGCTGTTGCTATCGGATGCGGCAGCAGCGCCGTTAAGCGACCCGCGGAGGCCCCCGCGGAGGGCGCCGCTGCCAAGCCCAAGACCAAACGCATCCAGCCCATTCCTCTCTCTGCAACCGCCCTGTCAGCCACGGTCCTGAATTCAGCCCCTTCTGCAGCACAAGCAGCAGCAGCTGCTGCGGCCACCGCCTCCGTCGCAGCGGCGACGGCGATAGCGGCGCCACAGCCTGCCCAGTCTTCACTTCTTCCAACAACAACAACAGCAGTGCCCGCAGGATCATCTCCCAGTCGGCGTCGCATCGTGCCTGTACGTGTGGATGGTCCGACAGTGGCGGCAACAGCGGCGCCAGTGTTGGCTGTTGCAGCGGCGCCGACAGGTCTAACGCCGCAACAGCAGCAGCCACAACCGGCGGCAGTAGCGGTGGCAGCAGCGCCGCCCTCATCCTCGCGCACCCCGCTGATGCCGGGTGCAGGTGGTGCAGCAGGGGGAGGAGCAGGAGGCGCTCCCGGGTCAGCTATCAAGATGCCTACACCACAGGTGAGAGGGCCAATGACTGAGTGTCAGTGATTGGGAGCCGTGAAGCTCCGTGTGGAACACATGGGGATAGGGCGGTTGTCATAGGCGCTTCGGGAAGCGTCCCCATTCCTCCCCCCTCAGCCGGCATGTCATTCCATTCCATAAGAGCTCTCCCTTTCGGGCCACTCCCTAGCCCTTGTAGACAACACGAACAACCACAACATCCTCAGCTGATGGCCACCCGCCCCCACCCTCTGCCCCCCTCCCAGGTCCTCTCCTTCAGCACGCCGCCCCCTAGCGCCAATGCGAGGAACGAGCAGCAGCAACCGCAGCAGCAGTCCCTCACGGCTCAGAAGCCCGCCCGCCGCGTGACGCCCATTCCCGTGGAGCGAGCGGACGCTGCTACTGCTGCCGGTGGCCTCGGTGGTGGTGGTGGTGGTGGTGGTGCGCCCTCCCATCTCCTCCCCTCCCTGCAGCAGCAGCAACAGACCGCCGCTGGAGACCTCGTCCCCACTCGCGAGCAGCAGCAGCAGACATCAGCGCCACCCCAGCAGCAGCAGCAGCCGCATCAGGGCCACCAGCAGCAAGCACAGGCAGCGGAGCCCAGCGGCGCAATGCAGCAGGGGGCGCCAGCCGCAGCTCCGGCCTCAGCCGCGACTGCTGCCCCTGCCCCTGCAGCCGGTGGAGGTACAGCTGGTGCCGCGGGGGTTGCGAGTGGTGGCGGTGGCGGTGCCCGGATGTCGCTGGCGCAGATGGCGGCGATGCGGGGGGCAGCGGCGGCGCGGAAGGCGGCAGCGGGGGGCAACAACTAAGGAGATGACGTGTGTAGGGAGTCAAGTTGGTGTGATAGGGTGTGGTGGTGCGGTGGTTTAGTCGCCAGCTGGGGGTTGTGAGCTAACCGGTAGCAGTGTTAGACAGAGCTCATCCTCGTGCGTTTTGCTGTTTGCATGTTGCATGCATGTAGGGGTGTATGCCTGCAGCGTAGGGCTAGAGGAGGAGTGCTACAGCGGGGGCCGACATGGGTTCCCAAACACCTGCCAAAGCAGTAGATTCAAGGATTCCTCGGAGGTCGCGCATCACTAGCGGTGCAGTATGCTGCGGCAAAAGGTAGTAACGGGCTTCTAGCCTTAACCGCTCGACGGAAGGATGCTGTTGCTAGCGTTCCGTTGGTCGTTGTAGACGACAGCGGCGTTCTAGGGAGTCCACCTGCCTGCGCAGAGCCGACAAAAAGGCTGATGAATACGCGCAGCACTCGTGGTCATGCGGTGTATTGCGGAAGCTTCTTCCGTGTTGTTAACTCCTCTTGCACAGTTTCATCACATGTCAGCTTGATCTACGACAGCACACAAGACCGCTTGTACCCCCGTACGTGCAGCTGACGAGGCAGCCGCCTGCAGGCCACGCAACCCACGCAAGCCCCTTGGGTGGTGTGGGCACTAGGCATAGGCTCGGTAGGAAGTACCGCTAGCCCGGCATGCCTTACGTCCTTGCCGCTCTTGCTCTTTAGCGCCGCAACCACCACCCAACCCGGCTTTTGATGGTACGGTAACCCCGCTGTGTTAAGCGACTGCATCAAGCGGCGGCAGAGGCCCTGTGCGCTGACGGCAGGCAGAGGCCCCCACCCGCCACCCCAGGGACGCAGCTTGGCTTTGCGCTAGCGCTCTGCAGAGGGAGGGAAGCAGCTAGGCAGGAGACCTGTCTTAAGGATTTCTAAATCGTGCGGCGCGGTGGTTTATGTCCCATGGGTCACTTCGTTTGCACGTTTTGGAGATGTGCTGCTTGTCAAGTCCAAAGGCCTACCCGTGAGACGCGGACTTCGTTTCGCGAACATTGGCTCGTGCTTTGCCTTCCAGCAATTCATTAAAAGAGAACTCCTATCAAATCACACGGCGCACCTTCCTCCGCCGCTTCGAGCTGTTGTCGCCCTTCCTATCCCTGGATAACCAACCAACCGTAGCACCCAGCGTTGCTGCCATCGTTGCAATAACCAGCGCAAACACCTCCTCGCCCCCCGCTTCCCTGGGCAGCGGCTCCCGAACGGGCGGACGAAACCTCAGAGGCAGCCATGCCCTCCAATCCTGTAAGCCGGCCCCTATCACCGGTAACCCTGCTATTTGCATCCCTGTGTCAGTGCTTATTTGCCCCTACGAGCTGTATGGGGCTTTGCGTCTTCGCTAAAGACCTTAATCAACGTTTAAAGAGCCGAACACCACAACACTATATGACCGCTAGGCCGCTGCCTGGCCGTTTCCCGCATGCAGGAAGCCAGCGGTCCGCCCAGACCCACCAGCGGCCCCCCATCAACCCCACCGCCGCTGCCACCGCAACACCCCACCCACAGCACCGAGGCGGGGCCCAACACCTCTGGAACAACCCCCGCTACCGCCACAACTGCCGGTGCCACCAGCACCCATCCTTGCAGCTCCCTTCCACGCACGCCGCCCCTGCTGCGCGTGCGGCCCCGCGCTGCCGCCGCCGCCGCCACCGCCGCCGCCGGCAGCAGTAGCTCGTCACTCGCTGCTGCGGCGCTGCGACTCGCTCGCACCGGTCGGGTCGACCTGATCCGCCGGGCGCTTTCCGAGATGCGGTCGGGCGGGCAGCGGGGGGAGCAGCGCCGGGGAGGGGATAGGTGCGTGCGTGCGTTACTGTGTTTGCGTGTGCTTGCCTGCTTGCAATCCAATTCAGGACAGTACTTGGGGGGCGGTTCATGTCGTGGGCTTGCCGTACGATGAGTGCCACAGCCGTACACGTACCCAGCATGTTCGCACCCGCATGCAGGCGCGGGGCAGCGACGGAATCCCCGCACGTCGAACCCCACCATGCGGAGCGACAGCAGCCCCAACAGCAACCCCAGCCCCAGCAGCAAACCCAGCAGCAACCGCAGTACAACAACAGGCGCTCCGACAAGCGATTCGTCGTACTCGTCATCGTGCTGGTGGTCACCCTGCAGGGCGCCTTCATGTGTGTGGTTTGGCTGGTGATGTAGCTGCAGGTGCGGGGGATTGAGCTGCGGCTTCAAGGGGAGCGGCTGCAGCAGCGGGAGGCACAGCTGCAGGAAACACATGCAGCGCTGGTTCAGACGCAGGAGGCCCTGCAGTACGTACGTGGGGCGTTCTTTGAGGCTCAGGGCCGCTGGGCGGCGGAGCGGCGGGACTTGTTGGCGCTGCCCGTGCGTGGTGGCGGAGGTGGAGGTGGCTGCTGCTGCTGCATCATGTGAGCTGGGGAATGTGGAATCGGGCTTGGGGGGGGATTTGTGGGAGAGGAGTTGTGGGAGAGGAGTTGTGGGACGGCAGACAGGCTTGCGAGGACGCAGGGCGGTGTTGCTGTTCGGTGGTTGAGTCTCAGAGGAGTGCATTTGAGCAGCAACGGAGGAGCTGGGTGTACAAGGGGGACATTGGCTGTGTGGTAATGGCGGGAGGTGGGTGCTGCAGAATGGGTTTGAGGAAGGCGAATGAGTTCCGTGTGTCATGGAGGACGCGGAGAACAACGTAGTGCAGAGAGGAAGGGTCGTCAGAATACGGTAGTGGGGGCCGGGGGAGGGCTTACGACGCATATACGAAGGGAACTAGGGCGAATATATAGTGCAGAGAAGCAGGGAGGTCCGGATGACGGAATCGCCTGCAAGCAGCGGAGATGTACCACAGGGTTACAGTTGCTGCGGGACGGGCCAAAGGTTTCTGTAGGGGCCTTATGGGCGCTACCAAGTAGTTGTAGGTGTTGTGAGGATTGCCGGACCTGGATAACTGATAAGATGCTTCATGTCATTGGTCTACGAAAGCATGTCGAGTGCAGCTGGGGTTGAATAGTCACCCCCGGTTGCGCTCGACCTGGGTGGTCGGATGGGATTCTGAATGCCTTCAGTTTGGTTGGCTACTTCGAGGAGCACAGCGAAAGTTCAAGCGGTTGATTGCAGTGCGTCGCAAGAGGGGTGCAAGACAACGCAAAAGGGGTAGAGTACGTTTGGGTGGGGCTTTGACCTAGCATGCCGTACGGCGATAAGGCAGTAGCTGGCTCTGCTTTACACATGTCATCACTTGTAAGCATTAAGCGCATGCCTTGATGGTTATATAAAAATGTTCAATCGCGCATAACCGTAAACCAGCAATTTGAGCAATTAATGCCAAGATCTTCACAAACCCTTATTGGGTAGGACGCTTGTATTTGCGCGACATTCAAAATGTTGTTAGGAAGAGAAAGCTTAGCTGGCATGCGGCAACACGCTGGCGCTTCCTGCTCCGGCCGGTGGGTAGACATGAATGCTGGAGCTTTAAGGGAGAGGACTAGGGGAATGGTTAACTATGTAGGGGATTCGTCATAAGTCGGTTATGCGTTTGTATCGCCCACAAGTTGACTGAGCGGCAGTGTGTGGACTTCCGTGGTGTACCATGGACATGTGCTTGCGCGCGCTCGACGGACAAAACATCGCGCTCCAATAGAGTTGGCGCTTTGGGTTGCGCTAAAACCATAACTCCTTCCAACATAAATCATTACTTGTCCTTTGCCACAGGACACGTATGGGGCGAGCAGCAGCATCTGTTGGGGCTTGCCTGGTGCCTCGGCCAGCATCCATCCCCGCCACCTCCAGCCATAGACAACTACAAGACAAAAGGTCGCAACGCGGGTTGTTGCTGCCTAACCGTCAGCGGCCGCTTGCTCCTTGCCGCGCCACCCTTGACTCGCCCGAGATAGAGGTGCTGGTGGAGCAGATGAAGGCCATGGTGAGGTGTGGGCGCGCTGGGGGGAAGGAAGGTTCGAAAGAAACGCTAGGTGGCAAGCAAGGAGAAGGCGTTAACACACGATATCCGAGGAGGGGTCTGGAGGAGGGTTAGCTGCTGGGGAAAGCAAGGACACACACACCATCTGGCCTCCAGGCAACACCCCTCGCCCCTCCCTCCTCTCCCTCCCTCCCTTCCAGCGCCCCGCCCCCGCCCCCCGGGAGCAGCTGCAGCGCTGCCTGGACCTCATCGACGACATCAACTCCAAGGACCCGTCAAAGGTACGACACAAGCGTATGACATACAGGTGCTGTCCTGCACTTCTGTGCCATACAACACCCAGCATCCTCATGAGTGCATGATGGCTGCAAGTGCCGTACCGCATCACCACCATCTCCCCTCCCCCTTCCAGGTGGAGTACGGCGGCAAGCGAGTGCCGTACCGGCTGCTGTACAGCGGCTGGCTGAGCGAGTGGGTGGAGAAGCTGGACCCGGGGGCACCGGACGAGCTGCGCATCCTGGCGCGAGGTGCGGGGGGGGATGGGGGGGTTGAAGGAAAGATATTAAAAAGTGGAGCATCGGAAGGGGCAGGGGTTAGGGAGGGGAGGGGAAGGGGAAAAAGAGGAAGGAAGGGCCCATGTGCCATGTGGCTCGATCATGGGTACGAGGAAGGGCGGGGCGGGGGCTGCTGGGGACACGAGTTGGGGTTCTTTTCCTCTGCCACCCTCCCATCCTTCCCTCCTATCTCCCCTCCCTTCTCGTCCTCCCTCCTCCCCCCCCTCCCCAGGCAAGGCTGTTGAGAGCTGGCGGCTGTCTGAGATCAAGCGCGACGACTACAGTCCCAACACGGCGGGGCAGCGGCAGTGGGAGGCGGACAGGCGGGCCTGGCTGGCGGGGCGGCTCAAGGGGATCGTCAAGGAGGCGGGTGAGGGGGGTGGGGCGGGTGAGGGTTGGGAGGGAGGAGGATAGGGTTGGGCCAGTCAAGGGGGCACGCTGGGAACGGAGGGTGGAGGGCGGAGGGTGCTGCCCGGAGGAGGGTCCGTTCAGCCGCTGGATTGCGGCCCAGTGAAGTCCAGGCGGGCGGGCGGGGGGGGGGGTAAAAAAAATATATATGGGCGGGCGGGGGGGGGGGGGCGACACACACCTGCAGCCGCCTTTCCTCCACCCCTATGGTTTGGTCTTACTGGAACCGCCTCCCTTCGGCTCTTCTTCTTGTCCCTCCCCCCCCCCCCTCCCAGGCTACCCCGAGGCCTCCCAGAAGCTTGTGGAGGACTTCATGTTGGGTCGGGACCTGCCCGACCCGCGGGACGTTCGGCTGTACGACGTCACTGGGCCGCTCAGCACCGTCAACTACAGGTGGGTGGGTGTGTTTGCCGGGGGGGGGGGGGGGGGGGGGCGGGCGGTAGGGGGGAGGGAGGGGGATGTGCCGGGTTCACTTAGCAACCCATGGTGAAGCCTCGTCATACAGATTATCAGCTTCCTTATCCTTACCCCCACCACCCCACTCCCGCTCCTCCCTCTCTCTTGCAGGCTGCTCGAGCTGCTTCTGATGGTTCAGACGCTGCGAGACGCGGAGGGGCTTGTGTTCCTGCAACACACCTTCCCGCGCATGTTCGAGGTATGGGGGGGGGGAGAAGAATTCCTAGTGTGTTGAATGAGAATGCAAACCAGACGACGGGCGGGTGGGCAGGAGGCGGGATGAGCCGCCCTCTTCAGCAACTCTACTTAGTTCTGCTGTGTACGTCCCACCCGCGTGTGCGCTCCCATCCGGTCTCCCATCTCCTCCTGCGCCTCCTAACTCACCCACCACTCCCTTTACTCCCCGCCTGGCGGCGCCAACATGTCACATGGTTGGTTAGTTTCTTCCTCCCACTCTCCTTTCCCACCCTCCTTCCTAACCCTCCCCCCCGACCCACCCTCCCCCCCAGGAGCTGCCGGCGGACGAGGTGGTGAAGGCGGTGCGGAGCGAGCTGGGAGGCATGTCCAAGAGGGTGGGTGGGAAAAAGTAATTCCAAAGTGTGGGTGGTGGGGGGGGGAGGTTGGCGGTGAGGGCGGGATATGGTGGTGATGAGAGAGGGAGGAGAGGGAGAGGCATGGTGTTGGTCGGTGTGGGAGGGGGGGAATGGAATGTACGGTATTCGTTGTTGCGGGCAGGGCGCAGAAGGCTCCCCCATCAGGAGGTCTTGCGGGATTGCTTTACCGGCATGCTTTACCTTCTTCATGCTACCTTCAAGCGCAGCCTCCACAGTCCCTTCCCAACCACCTCCTCCTCCGCTGCTCCGACCTTGCATGCACCCCTTGCACACCCCCTCCCTCCCTCCCTCCTCCCCGCCGCTGCCGTTTCCACTGCCGCTTCCCCTGTTGCCTCCCCCCCCCGTTCCCCAGGGTATCGCCACGGCCCTGCAGCTGCCATGGAGTCCGCTGCAACGCAAGCTGCTCGCCACCTCGCTGCCGCTGCCGCCAGGGTGGGGGGAGGTGCTGCGGGGGGTGGAGGGCGCGGCGGCGGCGTCAACACACCCGGGAGACTGGCGCTTCAAGGACTTTGATTACGATTAGCTAGGGAGGGAGGGAGAGGGAGGGGGAAACACGACTGCGACAAGAAAGGCAGGGAGGAAGGAAGGGAGAGGATGAGGGAGGGAGAGGGGTTGGAAGGACCACATTTGGGTTTTGCGATAACTGGGTGCCAGGTTCGTTAGGATGCTAGGAAGGGTGGGTGGTGGTGGTGTGGTGGAAGGAAGTGGGGCGGGACGGCAGCGGCAGCAGCACCAGCAGCAGCGGTAGTGTCGTAGTGGTGATAGCGGCGGTGGTGTCTGGGAGCGGGCGGGGCTCCAAGGAGCGGTGCGGTGGGGTGGTGGGGTGCTGCGGTGGTGGTGGCGGTAGCTAGTGATGCGACAACGTGCATGTATAACTTGCAGGCGTGTGTGTTCCAACAACAGCCGTTAGTGAGCCGCAACAGCTGAAGAGACACGGGCGAGGAATGGGCGGACGCACGGGGCTGTGGCGGTGGTGCTCGCCACCGTCACATCACCCCCAGCCATCCACCAGGCCCAGCTCGTGTGCTGCTGGGGTGGCATGGGTGGCACTTGCAGCTATGGTTGTAAGCGATGGGCCGCTAGCTGGTTGCTGGTGGCTTCCTGCGGTGAGTTTGCTCCTAGCTGTTATTAGCTGGGGGGCTGCAAGGCTAACGCAGTGGGGCTTGGAGCCGGTAGTGCAGCAGCGCAGCAGTCCCCCCCAGGCAGCAAGCGGCAGGCAGCAGGAGGGAGGGATGGCGGAGGAGCTCACCACGAGGGAATAGAACCGTCCAACCAGGGGCATACTCGCCGAAACAACTAAGAACTAATGCTGCCAGCTGCGCTTCGTCGTCCACAGGCTACTGCAGGCGATTGCATTGCTATGCTGCCACATTCGCCATGAAACTGTTCTCCTTCGTGTCATTTCGCATAGGTGTGCTAAAAACTTGGTAAGGAGACCCGTGGGTCACGATGGCTTGCGGCGCCCCCAGAAAGGCCGCTGGATGAGCAAACCGTTCATTACCAGATTAGGGGATGAAAGCCTAAGATGATGCAATGTCAACAGGCTTATTGAGATTTATTTACTCATAATTCCACAGGTGCAGCTGCATTTGGAGCTTGTCTCTCATCAACATCAGATCACAATGTTGGGTAATGCCCTCCGGGCCAACCGGGGCGGCCTTTGCGGTCTGCCGTTGTTGCTACAGCATTCTTCAGCGGCTGCTGCTGCTGCCGCCTGCCTGACGCCGCGAGGGCTGCTGCTGGCCAGGCCGGGAGGCGACATCGAGGGAGGCGGTAGCTGCTGCCAGCATCAGCAGCAGCGCCGAGCTGCTCCGAGCTGCCTAGCAGCAGGACGACTTCGCCCTGAGGGAGCAGCAGTGGCGGCGGCAGCGGCAGGAGCTGCAGCAGATGTTCGCAGACCTGTCAACCCGACTGCGTGCGGAGGTGGTTTCGGAGGTACAGCGGGCAGTGGAGAAAGCGATGGCAAGGGTGCAAGAGGCGGCGATGGAAAAGGTGGAGGGGGCGGTGGCAAGGGTGCAAGAGGCGGCGATGGAAAAGGTGGAGGGGGCGGTGGCAAGGGTGCAAGAGGCGGCGATGGAAAAGGTGGAGGGGGCGGTGGCAAGGATGCAAGAGGCGGCGATGGAATAGGTGGAGGAGGCGGTGGCGAGGGTGCGGGAGGAGGAGGCGGGTCGATCGGACGCGACGTCGGAGGTGTGGGGCAGGCTACTGCAAGCCCATGTGCGGGCGGTGGCAGTTGAGGTGGAGGGCGTTGCGAAGCAGCGGAGCCGGGATTACATGGTCCTTGTGGAGGCGGTGGAGGCGGCGGCTGGGAGGGTGGGCGCGGCGGCGGCAAGGGTGGAGGCTGCTGCGAGCAAAGTGGAGGAGGCGGCGGCGGAGGTGGAGGAGGCGGCGGAGGAGGTGGAGGAGGAGGTGGAGGAGGCGGCAGAGGAGGTGGAGGAAGCGGCGGAAGAGGTGAAGGAGGCGGCGGAGAAGGTGATGAAGGCAATGGAGGCGTTGATGCAGGTGAGTTTGGCTGCTGCTTGCTGCATGCGGGGGGGTTCATTTTGGGGGAATGGCTGGTTAGTTGGGGGAGTGCTTACCGATACTTGCCACAATGCCCTAAGCCACATGTTCCTCCCTACCCATCCCACCCTCCCACCCTCCCCACCTCCTCCCTCCCCCTCCCCAGAACGGCCGCTACCGCCACTAACGCGCCGGCCCTCCCACCACCGTCGACAACATGCAGTTGTACCGTCCCGTGGTTCACGGCCCTCCCTGGAAACATGACAAGGGATCCACCTGCCTCCGACGACGGCTGCGCGGGCCGCCTGGGTGTGGTGCTGCTGCGGGTGCCGTGGGAGGTGCCGTGGGAGGCATCAAGTTGGCGGATGGAGGTGGGGTGGTGGGCCACTGGTCGCACATTGTAGTACCCACTTCATGACGATAGGGAGCGGGCTTGGCTGTGCTTTGCAGTGTTGCAGAGTTGAAATGGGGTGTAGGGTAGGAAGGGGGAGGAGCGGGGGGGTTGGGGGGTTGGAGGGGAAGGTAAGTAGCAGGAGTGGCCGGTGAGGAAGGAAGGGCTGAGGAGGGTCGCGCAACTACTAGATAGAGGACAGAGCTCGGGGTGATGTGGCGAGGCGGCGGCTTCATTGCAGGTGGTAGGCCGTAAGGAGGTGGGCGACTGACCCATGGGTCGTGTAAGCGCTGTTGATGACTCGTGTTGCAGCGCCGTTAGGTTGGGCGGGTGCTGGAAGGGGTGATGGGGCGGTTGTCGTTGCCATCGGCAGGTTGAGGAACCCTTATGTAAATCGCACGTAGAGTGGGCTGTAAGCATGTAGCAGGTCGACAGGGTAGGGAGGGTCCGTACCGCAGCGGGGCAAAGGAACAGGAGGGCGAGTCAACAACGCTTGTGAGATAACCGCACAGAAACGCCGCAGGCACTGTTATACCACGGCCATAGCTGCGCTTTTCCTGTGCCTTTCCACGACTACACGCCCTGCCTTCATTCGCCGTCCAAGGGCGCGGCGTGCGAACACACATACGGCACATGACACACCATGCTGTTGTTCTCCTACGTATAAACAATTAAACTTGATTAGGACTGCTGAGGGTTTGCTGTCGGGACCCGCGGTTCACGTGCGACGCCCAAGGAAGGTCGTTAGACGAGCAAATCACAAACCAACAAACCCTTGGGTGACAGCAAAGCCCTTCTTTGCTGCTATATAATTAATTCGCCTTAGCAGCGTTCCGTGTGCCCCAACAAACAAGTGTGCCCAAAGGTGCCCATCCGTATCGCAAGATGGCAACGACGTTGCGCGGCTGCACAGCTCCCAGCTGGGCCCTTCCGCGCGCCTGCCGGAGCGGTCTTTACGGTCCGCCCCTGCTGCAGCGGCACTTCCCGGCAACCGCTGCTGCTGCTGCTGCTGCTACTTCCGGCTGCCTGCTGACGCCGGGCCGCAGGCAGCAGACATCGCCGCGAGGACTGCCGGCCCGCAGGCAGAAGACCGCTACGCGAGCACTTCCGGGAGAGAGCAAGGGCCTTTGGTGGCTGTCGGTACGTTTACCTTCTAGGTAGCAAGATAGGATTTAACCTAAGCTTGGTAGACGATAGACCAAGTTGCGCTTTCGCCTCAGATTCGGCTTGTGAGGCTTTTCGAGGCTTGCCGGTATTGAAGTACCGGCATTTTCACTGCGTGCACAAGCCTTCGCCTTTCTTGCAAGTATGAACATGCGGCTAAGCTCTTAACTATCCTGCCTGGTCGTCAGCTTCGCCTTGCCCTGTAACCCGAAAAGACGAAGCGCGAAGGACGCTGCAGTGCACTTTCTTGTCACCTTGCAGCAGCGGCATGACCCTGCTAATATGCAGTATACCATCAACAAATGCACTGTTCTCGTCATCTCGCTTTGCCGCGCTTCCTCCACGCTCTTGCCTCATCCTCGCCTCTCCGCCCCGCCATCGCCCCTTTCCCTCCCCCCCTTCCTCAGGAGGCCCTCAGCACTGCCACCGCTGACCCGCTCTCCGCCCCGCTGCTGCTCGGAGCTGCCTCCTCTCCTGCCATCCCTGCAGGCCCGCCTGCTGCCATCCCCAGTACTGCCGCCTCTGCTGCTACCCCTTCCGCCACCGCTCCCTCCGAGGCACTCCCCTCCAGCAGCCAGCCCCGCGCCAAGTCCTCTATCTCATCCGGCCCCGCCTCCTCCTCCCCGCCCCCGTCTCGGCCCCCTCAACTAGACCAGCTGGCCTGCGCCCTCGCTGCTGCTCTAGCGGGTCCGCTGCGAGAGGGTGTGAGGGAGGCGGTGGCTGCTGCCAGCACCAGCAGCAGCATCAGCGCCCAGCAGCCCCGTCAGCAGGACGACTTCGAGCAGCAACAGCAGCAGCAGGAGCGGCTGCTGCAGCAGATGTTCGCAGGTCTGTCAACCCGACTGCGTGCGGAGGTGGTTTCGGAGGTACAGCGGGCAGTGGGGGCGGCGGCGAGGGTGCATTGGGATGCGATGGACAAGGTGGAGGAGGCGGTGGAGAGGGTGGAGGCGGCGGCGGAGGCGGTGGAGGTTGCGGCGAGTGAGATGGAGGAGGCGGTGGAGGCGGTGGAGAAGGCGGCGGAGAGGGGCTTTGCGGTCGGCGGCGGCTGCAGCAGCAGCGACGACAGCGATGAGGATGACGACGAGGAGGCGGGGGAGGAGGAGATGCAGGAGGAGTGGAGCTACGATGTGGGTCCTCGGGTTCGGGATATCGGGATATCGGGAGCTGGCTGGGTGTTTTGTGGCTGGGGGGGCATGTGCGGGTTTACATGGGAGGCAGGGCAGGGGGGTAAGGTGGGGGGTGGGGATACACGGACTGATACCGGCGGTACGAGTAGCAGGAAGGGGTTGGGTAAGCCACCTACCCACCCGCGCAGCACTGCTGCTCGCAACCCCCACCCTCACCCTTCTCCCTCCCCCCGCCAAAATTTTTATACCCCCCAGAACGGGCGCTACCGCCGCTTCCGCGCCGGCGCGCCCTTCACCACTGCCAACGTGCGGCTGTACAGTCCCGTGGTTCGCGGCCCAGCCTGGAAAGATGAGGAGGAGGATGAGCACCGAACCAGCGACGGCGGCCCCGGCTGCCTGGGTGTGGTGCTCCGGGTGCTACACAGCAGGCGGCACGGCATGACGGCAGTGGTGGGCTGGCAGACCACCGGTCAGAAGAAGCACTACCCGATTTACGGCGATGAGGAGAAGGCGCTGCTGTGTTTTGCAAAGCTGAAGTGAGGGAGGGAAAAAATATATAGAGAATGAGAGAGGGAGGGAGGGGCGGAGGGGAGGATGAGATGACCCATGGGTCGGATGCATGGCGCGGAGGCAGTGAGGGGGAGGAAGGGGTGGTGAGGAAAGGGTCGAGAAGGGCTGCGGTGTTGGGAGTGGTGTGAAGAGCGACGACGGCCTGTTTGCGGGTAGGCGGCTGTAGAGGTTGCCGACTGACCCATGGGTCGTAAGTGTGTGTTGACTGCTGTTGCAGCGGTGTTGCGGTTGGAATGTACAATTAAGGTCTTGCTTGCCTTGAGTGGAAGAGAAAATACTAAGCTTTGGATTGGAGACAGAGGCAGAGAACGACATCTTTGGTTAGGATGTCCCTCTGGTCGGTTTTCTCATCGTTGAATGGAATCCTCCGTGCGCACAGGCAGCAGCAGCAGCAGGGCATAAGGGCTGCAGTAGTACTCTTTTCCACCGTCCCGCTTACCGGTAGGCGGGGGCCCAGACAGGCAGGGATGCTGGGGGCCCTGTCCTGCCGCTGTTTGGAAAAAACGGCAAATAGATTAGGTGGCAGTTAGCGGTTAGGGAGATCAATAAAAAATTGGCATTTAGCAACTCGCACGCGTTTTGCACGTCAACAGTAGGGTAGTGTAGGTAGGATAGGCAGTTAGGGATGAGTGTATCATGTATGGACAGCTATACCGTAAGAGCTATGAGATATGCAAGAGTTATTACATGAGTTGTGTGCCATGTATGCTGCGTGTTGGTTGTTACAACTTTGGTAGTTTGTTGCGGGCAGCAGCTGCTGTTGGAGGTTGTTGATTGCAAGCTGGGTGCGCACCGGTGTTGGATTACGCCTGGACTACACCTGCATGCATGCGTGTTGGGCAGGTCTGCTGCTGCTGATTGTAGGTTGTGGACTGAAGCAAGGGAGAGGATGAGCAACACTGTAATCCACCAACGCTCTGACAAGCACTACTCGGTGCCGAGTCCTAGCTGCCAACGCGGTACACAGAACTAGGTGGGGTACATCCAAGCGCAGGAGACTCCGGGATACCTAGGAGGAACATATGTGCATGGAAGCAAAGGCACTACTCGCGAAAGGGCTGCCACGCACTCAGACACGCGCACACGTCTAAGTGCCGGAAAGTGCGAGGTGCCTCCGGAGGGTGGGCACTGGAGGGCGGCGGTTCGCTGCTGGGAGGTGCTGCTGGGAGGTGCTGCTGGGAGGTGCTGCTGGGAGGGGCTGCTGGGAGGGGCTGCTGTAGGAGTGTTGCAGGGCAGTCAGACGTAGGAGGAGGAAGCAAGAGGTGATGAGGCCGGCAGGCCGCACGTACGGGCATGAGGCGGTGCATAACTTAGGGGGGATGGAGTCTGGGCAAGTGGTTACTCCGCATGAATACCGGTAGCACTGCTGTTGCTTTGGTGTTGCAGCGGTATGGGGCCGGTGAGGGTAGGACTATGGGTTTCAGCGAGCCGAAGGAGGGCTGCTCGAAGCACCGCCCTGGGTAGCGGCTGTAGCGCAAAAGCGCACGGCAAATTTGGGTGCTGAAATGTTTACGTGGTGGTTCTGTGCATAGGTGTACGTTGCTGACCCAGGCGAACGGAAAGCGTCCTCGTCAGATGCTTTCGCTGGGTAAGCGTACGGATAGCAAATGACGCCATGACTCACGATCCATAGACGGCCGCCCGACATCCAGGCAAGAAGCCTATTATCCAATTGATACAGCTCTTTCCTTATATTAACCAACAGCATATCAGTGTTGACTTGACTGCTAGCAGTTTACTCGACAAGTTTGAAAGCGCCGGAAAACCTGGGAAACCATTTAGAGTGGCATAGTACACAGCAGGCTATATCGTAAAAATAGCTTCACAGTCAAGCACTATGGCCGACAACGTCGTTCCAGGCCATGTCCACGAGGGCGTCAGCACGCTTTTAAGTCTTCACAACTCACTTCTCCAGGACATTCTAGGACACATGGACATTCAGAGCCGGGTCGCAGCTTCGGCAACCTGCAAACGTCTGGCTAAAGTCAGCGCTGAGCATCCACCAACTGTTGTGGACCTTAGCTCCGATGGCGTACACCCGGAGGCTTGTCGCCAGTTTATCGAACGCTCCAAAGGAGCCATAGTGGCTATCACTTCAGCAAGGTTAGTAAAAAATCAAGGGAGCTTGAGGGAATGAAAGGCCACACCTGTCGATGGAATCCTCAGTGGACGCCGACACGCAAACGAGCATTTCCTTGGGTATAAGATTACGAACTATACACGGCTGTTCGTTCACAGTTGGCGCATGCCTGCATTCACTAGTTTGCCCCTTGGAACAGCTGGAAACAGCCAGGCCGGGCCAAGCTGAAAAAAGGTCTTGAAACAGTGCGACTGCATAAAATGTATTGTTTCTATTCCAGTAGAAATCTTTATTCTGGAATAGCCTTAAATGTGCGCTCGCTCTTAGACATCGGCGCCCGCCCTCCTCTCATCCATTCCAGCCCAACTCTCCACACCCTACCCTAATCCTAACCCGCATTCCACTCCCTTCTTCCCACCCCTCCCTAACCCCCTTCCTCATCCCAAGGCACAAGCAACGCACCGCCTGTGCCGCCACCTCTGCCCGCCGCTTCAACTCCGGTCTGCGCTGCACCCAGGTGGTGCCGTACACCGCCCGCCGAACCTCTGCCGTACAGCTGGCCTCCTACCTCCCCCGTTTGCGGCAGCTGGTGCTTCACGAGGCTACCAGCTGCCTGGGCGGCATGACGGACGAGCTGGCTGCGGCGGTGGCGGCGCACTGCCCGGGACTGGAGGTGTTGGAGGTGGCCTTTGCACGGTACAGCCTGCCCTCGGAGGTGAGGAGGGGGAGGCGGAGGGGAGGGTGGGAGGGAGGAGGGAGGGTCAGGGCCACGTGCGGCAAACAAAAGAGAGACGCGGAGGCAGGAGGGTGGGTGGCACTTTGGCAGGAAGGGTGGGCAGCGACGGACCCACTCATCTTCCTCCTGCCTCCAACGCTCCCTCCCCCTCCCTCCCCACCTCCTCGACCCAGGTTTTCACGGACAAGGGGGTGATGTGCCTGGCTGCCGGCTGCCCCCGCCTCACCCGCGTCGCCCTCACCCACTGCGGGGCGCTCACGGACCGCTCGCTCTACTCCCTCGCATCGCACTGCCGGGGGCTTACCAGCATCAGCCTGGGTGAGGGGGGAAATTATAAATAAGTGCAACAACACAGTCCCTATCCCGAATCCCGACTCATGCAGTGAGCGCATGAGTGAGCGCAGGGGGGGGGCGGGAGGGAGGGAGAGGGAGAGCAGGGGGACGGGGAGGGAGTGGGTGGGGTGGGTGGGTGCTTGTTGGTATGCATCACTTCTTCTCCTTCCAAGCGCTACCGCACTTCCCCCTTATCGCCCCTTCCCCCCCATCTTCCCCCCAGGTGGCTATCATGAGCTCATTACGGACTATGGAGCCGTGGTGCTATTCCAGGTGGGCTGGTAGGGAGCCGGCAGGGCGGAGGGGGTTGGCTAGCAGGATTGGGGTGGGAATCAAAGACCAAACCAAACCATAGGAAGACACAGGTTGGGGCGGGGGGGGGTGCTGGTCGGCTACAGCTAGCTGGGAACCTCCTCATCAGACTCTACCGGTACCCTTTCTTCCCACCTCATGTCCACCTCTCGTTACCCCCTCCAACCCCAACCCAAACCCACCCTGGCGCCCCCTCCAGGCCTGCCCGGGCCTCACTCGCGTGTCGCTGTCCGGCAAGCTGCGCCGGGTGACGGATGTGGCGGTGGAGGCGCTTGCAGCGGCATGCGGGGGCAGCCTGCGGGAACTCAAGGTAGCTCCTTGCTCCTCTTGCTGCTCTTCTTGGACCATCATCGGACCCCTCACCCATAAACCTCTGCAGGTCTTCCCCTCTCCCTGCATTGACCAATAACCCCTGACAACCCTCTCTTCCCTCCCGTCCTCCCGTCCCCCCTCTTACCTCCCTAACAGCTCACCCGCTCCATGGGCGACCGCTCGCTGTCCTCCCTGGCCCGCCACTGCCGCCGCCTCGCCCGCCTGGACTGCCGCAAGTGCGACCCGACTGCACTCACAGCGGGGGGCGTGGCGGCGCTGATGCGGGCGCTGGGGGAGCCAGTAAGGGAGCAGCAGCAGCAGCGGGAGCAGGAACAGCAGCAGACGACTGCCGTTATGGGCGGTGATGGGAGCACTGGCGGCAGCAGCAGCAGCAGCAGCGGGCCTAGTGCGGGTAGCGGTGTTGGCAGCAGTCGGGGTGTCCTGCGTGTGTTGCTGCCGCCGGGGCTGAGAGCGGAGGAGGTTGTACGACGGGGGATGGAACTGTCGCAACCGCCCGGCGACAACGGTGCTGCTGCTGATGCTGGTGTGGTTGGGAGTATGGAGGGTGTGGGGGCGACGGAGTGGCGGGTAGTCAGGCCGTCGCCTCTGCCCTCGTCATCGGAGGCTATACCGGGCGCGAGGAAGGCGGGTGGTGGCGGTGTGAGGCTGGGGGGTCCGCCGGCAGCGGTTAAGGCGGCGGTGGCGACTGAGGAGGTGGTGGTGCGATTGCGGTGATGCTGGCAGGGCGGTTGGGGTGGTGGTGGTGAGCGGTTGGGGATTGTAAGATGTTGATGATTTGTGTACGGTATTTTGGGTGAGATGGCATCAGTAACAGTAGCATGTTATTCTCTCCGTTGTAATTTAGTTGTAAGTTGCAAGTTGTTTTGCATGGTCGTGTACATGTATGGGAGAATTGGTGCTGTGTATCTGTATTCGCAACGTGCCATTTGTTTACTATTTCGTTGATACTAAATTGGTTCTTTTATCATTGTCTTAGACGCGCACGGATGGGCAAGTCTCCCTCACGGACCGATCGGTGTATGATGGGCGCGTGACACGTCGGCTTTGCATGCGTCACAACTTGTGGTTGTTCGGCTTAGTGGTCTCGTTCCTTAACGTGGGTCAACAAGTGAGTAGCTCGGCGTCCCTTTCCTTCATTTGGCTTCATTTTTGTTCTAGGAAACAACTGCCTGGTTGCTTCCCGCCCAGCGTCCCGTGTGCGTTTGTTGAGACGTTGACCCACGGGTCGCTCCCCGGCTGGTACATCGTGCATCTGTTGACATGTGCCAATAGAGAGCCAGTAGCATACAATAGTGCAACAGTGTGCGTTTTGTACGGCTATGGACTTGCGCGGTTGACTCTTACCCTTGTTTGTTACGTGCGGTTGCTGTTGTTTGTTGGACGGAGGCGGGAAAGAAGGTGATGGCGTTGGATGGGTGCCGGCGCGATTACGAGTTGTCTGTCGTATCAGTGTTTCAATAAGTTTAGTTATACCTGGGTTGTTCCTTCGGACGTTCCGCGCTGTACTATATATTTTATCTTCACAAGGAAACACTGTGGTCGCCCCCGGTCGGGGCCATGTGTAGGCATCGGGGTGATCCACCCTGGGGCGCATGTTGTAAAGGTAGGCGGCAGTTCTGCGGTATGCCGGTGTCCACACACTGAGCTGTGTATGTGTGGACAGAGCCCTAGACCGGGGCGGAGGAGGGCTGCATTAGTCCGGGGCCCCCCTCATTAGTCATTACCCGACACCCCGTGTCTGGGTTTCCTCTTCGTGTAATAATAACAAGTACCTGGACTGGCATGTTGCTTGTGCTGCTTGCCCCAAGTATGCCGTAGAGGGGTGCTGGGGGTAGCGGTGGTGGGGGGACTGTTGGGGCGCACTGGGGGTCAAAATAGACCAAATCATTTAGGGTGGGCTACCTGTGGGGTAGAAGGGGGCGTCATGAGTGGTGATGGCGGGCGGTTGGGCGGTGGCGGGCGGGATCAGAGGGCTGGGCAGGGCCTCCTCTAGCCTGACCGGAGGCCTGGGGGAACTCAGCTCTCATGCGTCCAAATGTTCCCCGCAATGTAAGAGCTAGTGTGTGTGCTACATACCCTGTTTGTTGTTGTGTTGCGGGGGGTAACACAGGTGGCAAAGGTGGTGCAGAACTCATTTACAACTGCAACTGGATTGCTTGGATCCGGGATGTTGGTTCCCCGAATGATTCAATTGCAACAAGTGTGCTGGTCCGTCAACCCAAAATCCCAACCTGTGGCCAGATACACTGCTATACAGGTAACACACAGCTAACTACAGAACAATAGGCAACTCTCATCTCGGAAAGCTCAGCATCTCAGGCTACAACACGTCCGTTGGTAGGATGCTATGAGGTAAGCACGGCCTGCAAGCTACATAAGCCATCCCCCTAAATCCTTGGAACCCAACAGCAAACACCAGGGCTCTAAACCAATCAGCAAACATGGCCGTACACCTCCTCCCTCAGGTTCCAGATCTCTTCATAGTACGGGTACCGCCTAAGGGTGCTCCCACAGGTCAAAATCGCACTGGCAGAGGCGTGGCATTGCTCGAAGTTGCCAAAAATGCCCCTTAAACACAGATGTGCAGGATAGCAAGAAACAACTGGTAAAAGAGCTGCATGCCCAAAACTGATTCGCATCTGCACAGGGCGTGACGTACACTTTAAGGAACAGAGAGAGACAACTGATATCGGAAATCTGTACATCCACCAATCATTCAATTCTCATCGGGAGTAATACATTCAGTATCCAATCGCGTCTTCCCACGTCATCCGCCTCTCCATCCAGTTGCTACTGTGTAACAAGACGCCCCCGCCGCTGCAAGAAAGATAGAGCCACCAGACCACCTCTTAACCACCCCGCATCCGAACCTCCTCCTCCTCATCTAAGATGCCAAACACCACAGCGACACAGCACACATCACGACGTGGAACGCCCTGTGAAGCGGCAACTTGGAAGAGGAGGCAATCGCTCTAACCGGCGCTTAACAGGTTGACTGATGCTGGCGGCAATGTTCCCCCCCACACCGGGACCCACACCGTGACACCGTTCACCGACACGAGCGCTTATGCAGCACCCCGGGAGAAGAAGCCATCAACCGCCAAAACAGATTGGCGACGTGCGTACAGCGGACAGGGTGGTGGTGCGAGACACGCCGCTCTGCAACGGGTGGGAGCGGGATGCGATGCGATGCTACACACACGCAGATGAGCAGCTCCTCATACAAACATCAGCACATTGTCGCACAGCCTCACTCACTAACTCGACCTCCCGCTGCAGGCTCCGTGCTGGCCTCACGCCGTGAGCCTAATACCAGTACACCTTCCTCCACTGTGTCTTAGGCAGACAGGCATATGCCCAGACAAAACTGGCTGCCTGTTACCAGGAGAAACAACGTGCGTGACAACGACAACGACAACGAAATACAGAAAACATAGCGCGCGCAAGGAAGGGGACCCACACCGGGTACTGTGTGTTTCTGGCCACCTTCCTCACCCCTAGGTTTGCTCAACTTCCTCACCCCTAGGTTTCCTCACAAGATGAAAGTTCCCTTCTTTCAAAAACCGCATTTGGCGGCTCCTCCGCTCGCATGGCCCCCGGCCAGCCATACCCCTACTACGGTAGTCCACTTCCCCCCTAGAGTCACAGTAGGGCCCGCTGTAGGGTCGGCCCTCACCCCGCCTGCCCTCACCCCTATCCCCCTCCATCACTCGGTCGGCCCATCAGCATCGTCGTCGTCATCAACATCATTGTCATCATGCCCCACCTCATATGTGCGGATCAAGTCACTTGTCTCATGGCTCATATTGTCATAATGTACACCCAGAGTCGCAGCACGGCCCTTTTCATCAACACAACCGCCACCACAACACCACCGCCACCCACTCCTGCTGCCGCCCCTAGCGCCCACCACTACTCTGATACCCTCCCACCCCGCCGCATGCCCGGTCACACCCGCAACCCATACCCGCAGCTCAAGCGCCCTGCGGCCCACCGCTATCGAGGCCCCCCTCCCCGACTCCCGACCACCCCTCCTACCGCCCTCCTCCTCCTACACCCCCGCCACCCTGCATGTCGCCGGAAGCAGCACGCCCCCCAGGCAGCAGCCGGCCCCCGCTGCCGCCACCACATCCACCAGAGCAGCCCCGCCGGGGCCCGCCTTGCCGCCACCACCCACCCCGCTGCTGCTGCTGCTGCTGGGGGCATGCGTGCTCAGCGGACACCCATCAGCCGCCGGCGGGGCACCAGCAGCCCCCTCCTCCTCCTCCTCCTGTTCCTCCTCCTCCGCTCCCTCCTCTTTCCCCGCCGCCAACACCCCGTCTTTACGGTTGGAGCTCCCCGCCACCGCCATCATCCGTTCGGGTTGTGCCTGCGCGCACCCCCCACCGCTGACAGCACCTCCACCGCCACCTCCACCTCCACCGCCACCGCTACCGTCCCTCGCAGCAGCCCCCGCAGCAGCAGCAGCGGTAACCTCAGCGGGGACAGATTCACCAATGACCGGCTTGCCATCGCCGCTGCCATTCCCGCTGCTGCCTGCATCGCTCCCTGCATTGTCCACCGCTGTTACCGTCCTCAGCTCCTGCCCCCCCGCCTCCGCTGGTCCCCACCCCGCAGCTGCTGCCCCTCCTCCCTGCCTCCCCACCGCACCACTAGCCGTTGCTGCAGCACAGCTGACGGCGGCTCTGCCTGCTGCTGCTGTTGTCGTGCTGATGATGGTGGCAGCCGCACTGACTCCCGGACCCACCATCACTCCCGGCCCCACCGCTACCACCCCTCCCAGACTCACACCGTTACGCCTCAGCCTGCCCCTCACGCCAACACCGCCACAGATGCTGCTAGCGCTGCTGGTGCTAGTGTTGCTGGTGCTGGTGTTGCTACCCATACCACCAGCGGGTGCGGGCGTGGGCGCCATGGGGGTGCCCGGTGCGGCTGGTGTGGTGACGGCGGCGGGGGCGGCTGGCGTGCGGATGGGGTGGGCGACTGGGACTGCAGGGGCGGCAGTGGCGGCGGCTCCCGCTGGCTCCAGCTGCTCCAGGGGCAGCAGCGGCAGCGGCACCCGCACCGCGGGGTGCAGCCCCGCATGCGCCTGAGCCCGCCTGCAGGAGGGGAGGGCGGGATGCATGCATGCAAGCCGTCCGTCAGTTAGCCAGCTACGCCAGAGGACAGGAGGACAGGCAGGATGCCCCCACCCCCACCCCCCCACCCTGCCCCCCCACCCCTGCCCCCCGAGTGCCCACCGGTACTGCGCCAGCCGCTCCGCGAACCTGCCCTTGTTCCACCCGGGCCAGCAGCCCAGCTGGCAGCCGCCCGCCTCCCACTCCCACAGCTGCAGCAGGAAGCCTGTGAAGGCAGGTGCCGGCAGGGGGGGGGCAGGAGGAGGAGGAGCTCGGGTGGGGGGAGGGGGGAGGGAGGGCGGATGCGGTTGGAAGGGGGGCGATTGGCCTCCCGACGCACGGTCCGGTTGATACCCGCCGCTCAACCGCCTGCTCCCGCAAGGTCCGGTTTTCCCCTTCCTTGCCGCTACCTGCTTCCAGGAACAGGACCAGGAACACCCTTCCCTCATCCACCCACCCGCCCCCTCCCTTGCATGCTCATCCAGCCCTCTCAGCCACCCACCCTCCCTCCCTCCCTCCCTCCTCCCTCCCCCCCTCCCTCACCCATGTTGGGGTAGACGCAGGGCCGCACGCCCTTCACCTGCTGCAGGGCGGTGCCGTACGGCAGCCGCTCCGCCCACATGAGGTAGGCCAGCACCACGGAGGCGGAGCGGGACATGCCAGCCTGGCAGTGGACGAGCACCACGGGCTGGGGGAGGGAGGGAGGCGGGGGCTGGGGCTGGGGGACGGCGGAGTCGTCGCCGTCTGGGTTGCCTGGGGGGTGGACGCCCGGAAGGGTGGGAAACAGCACACGTGGGGGGTAAAAAGGAAACAACGAACTGACTGAGGGGCACACGTGGGGGGGGGGCACAGGGGTTTAGGCTTGGGGTTTGGTGCTGGGGGTCTGGGGCAGGTGGCGATGCGAGCGATAGGAGTTGCGTGCCCCGAAGCAGCTAAGGTCAGCCCCCGACTGGGGATAGTCCGCAGACATCCGGAGGAGAAAAGAGGAAGGAAGTGGTCCAAGGGAGGGAGCCGTTCGCAGCAGCTGGCACACACATACACGCGCATGAGCCTTGTGCTTGTCCCTGTTGTACTTCATCCAGCCACCTACCCTTGACCAGTTATGTCAGTTACGCAGCTCAGTTGCTTTAACATACGGCCGTACAGGCTGACGCACGTTCGTACCTGCAGCCTGGCGGTGCGCTTCTTGAATGAAGGCAAAGCAGCGCGGCAGCACGCTGATGATGTCCTGCTGCTCCGCGTCCTCTAGGGGAATGCGCAAATACTGAAAGCGTCCGTGAAAGCTGGGTCGGAGCTCCGAACCGACCTGAGCATGCGGCACATCATGCCATGACGACGAACATCAGCATGCTCAAAACCTCCGACAACGGGCAGAAAGATGCATTGCAAGGTGACATGCATTACTGCAAGATGCAGCGTGATGTCGGCTGGTTGGGAAAGGGTGTTGCAAGAGACGCATGGTTGGCGCGTACCTGCAAAATGTGCGTTACGCCTGCTTCGCGCAGAAGTGCGTAATCGTTCTCATGTGCGGCCGCTCCCAGAAGCAGGTTCGGACGCACAATGGCCATCCTCGAATCAAAGACGAACATCTTTCACAGTACTCCGGTAAGGGCAGGCCCGCGGGGTCAGCTACCTACGTCCATAAACTGCGGCTTCTATTGTTAATTACCTCAATCCGCTCGTTTAATTCGTATAGATTTCACAGTTGCATCGCCCACTTGGAGCTAAATGGAGTGGACAGCTGCTGAGGTAGAGTCTCAAGCCAACGTTGAGCTTAAGCTTAAACGCCACTTGAGTTCAAATAACAGGAGCTCATTACTGTAGACAGTCGGATGTTGTAGCATTACGCGATAATGCGTGCATGCAGTGAACACCCGAAGCAAGCGAGAAGTGTCACATGAGACCTTCCCGTACCTCGGAACAGAATCCAACCGCTGCAAAGGGCTTCGTTCCTGCACCTCACGGCGCACTGCCACATTCTATGAGTTAAATGCGCATTAGCGTCCTCATTGAGGACCGGTATGCTTGCATAGCACTTTGTATGTGCCGTTCCTAGTCAGCGTACCTGTCAAGACAACTTGGCGTTGACATGCGAGAAAACCTCTCACGTATTGCCGGCCGCGTCCGTCAGCGTGCGCAAGCGCCTCGTTCGCGACTTACTTTCTCACAATGTCGGCATGTAGGGTCCAATGCGGGTGAGTCCATTGCCGGGCTCGCCCGATCGCGCTATGGCCACCCATCGCAGGTTGCACGCGGGGCAATATGTAGTCTGGGAGTGGAGGTGGAGGCAGGGGATGGCGGTCTAAGCTGGGGCTTTGCGGGGATTTCAGCCCCTTTGCTGGCGAATTGCTGGAAGGCTTAACTAGCAGCCGTGTCTCGGGCTGCGGGGGGCTTGCTAGGCTATTTGAGTTTGTCGCTGTATGGCCGTAAGGCATAGTTTGCCGGCTTGCTTTCAGCACACATCCCAGCCAAGTATGATGACACAGGCGCAGGCAACGTCGCGTTTTGTCCCCTGCCATGAAGCTTCTCTTGCAAAGAAGAAGACAATCCGCACCCTGCTTGGCTGCGACGTAACCCATTGCATAGAAGCCATCCGCTGTAGTACCATCCCCCCTCCCCACTCACCTAGCATTGTCACGTGCAGGGTGTGGGGCGGGGGCGGGGGCGGTATGGTCGGCGGGTTCAGTCCGCTCCGCCTCCGCACCTTGTAGAGCAAGGGCTGCAGCACGTTGCCTGCTCACACCGCTTCCCACACCCTCGCTTTCCCTCCCAGCCTCCTCCTTCCGGCCCTCCACAATCGCGCCCACACGAGCCTTTCCTCCCTACAGCTCCCCACACTGCCCGGGCCCCGCCCGCCTCGCTCGTCGGCCCGTTTCCCCCCCCCCCCATTCGCACCCCTTTTCCGCCCTTCTTCTTCCCCTGCCGGGTGGCCCAAACCCATGTGTAACAGCGCCGACGCAAGCTGTAGCAGCCGCCCCCTCATCAACCCCGCCCGGAGGGGGCCCCCATGACGACCCCGCCGCCCCCCCTGCTGGGCCCCCCGCTCCGCCCCCCAGCCCGGGGGTGCTGGTGGCCTACTACGCAGACCACTGGCAGGTGTGCAGAGGGGGGCTGGGAGTGGGGGTGGTAGGGGGGGCGGGGCTGGGATTAGATAAACTGAGCCGCGGAAACACTGACCCTGACCGTAGGTTAACGGAAATTGCTTGGAGTTGCTTGGGGGCTGAGAAAATTGGAATGAGGACAGGGAGGGGGCTGAAGGGGGTTGGGGAGGGGGCTGAGGGGTTGTTACTTGTTAGGGGGAAAGCACTACCAGTAACCATGGGACAAAGCTCCGCCATGTGTTGCTGGGAGGGTGGCAAGGGGCCGGAGGGGTCTGCTGCCGACGGTGCCATGCGCAGAGCGCGCTGCTGCTGCTGCTGGGGGTCGGTGTGGGTGTCTCCGCACGACGCCGCTTTCTGAACAGCATGACTAAGCGGCACAAACAACCCGACACGTTTCCCCCCCCCACCACGCCTTCCCTACCCTCCTTTCCATGCTCCTTCCTTCCCCTCTCCTTGCTCCCCCGCCTCCCCGCCCCCCCCCAGGTCCCGCTCCCGCCCGGCCACCGCTTCCCCATGTCAAAGTATGCCGCCACGCGCGCCGCCCTGGCCGCCGACCCCTCCCTGGCGCCCTGCCTGCAGCTGCGCCCCGCCCCGCCGGTGTGCTGGGGGGACGTGACGGAGGTGCACGAGGCGGGCTACGTGGAGCGGTTCAGGTGGGGTAAAGAGGAAACAACTTCCTGACTGGGGTTCAGGTGGGGGGGAGGGCGGGGTGGGGGGCAGGAGGGGTGGGGGGCAGATGGAAACAAGGGGCCTGCAGGCGGGTGAGGCAAGTGGGTTGGCCGAGTGAAGGGCGGGCACCGGTAGGGTAGGAGGCAGGAGGAGCGGTGAGGCAGGCGACCCTCACCGGGCCCCTCCACACCTAGCCGGGCCCACATGCCCGGGTTAGGTGCGTGTAGGAACCTCGCTGGTTATTCCTGCCTGCCTGCCACCCGCGCCCCCCCACCTGCTGCTGACCGCGCCCTCCCCTCCATCCGCCACTCCAGTTCGACTGCCATCCCTACCCCCCTGCCTCCTCCCTCCCTACCCCTCTGCCTCCTCCCTCCCTACCCCCCTGCCTCCTCCCTCCCTACACACCGGGATACATCGCATACTGCGCATCTCCCCCACAAACACAAACACCCCCAGGAGCAACCGCATGACGGAGGCTGAGATGCGCAATGTTGGCTTTCCCTGGAGCCAGCAGCTGGTGTGTAGGGGGGAAGGGAGGGAGGGGGGGAGGGGCAAGCAAGGACGAGGATTGGGAAGAGGCTGGAGAGCAGAAGGAGGACGGTTCGGTAACAGAATGGGCTCGTGAGGCCTGCTGGGGCCTGCTTGGGCAGTTCTGTCGCCCCTTTGGCCTGCTGCTCATTGCCCCGTCCCCACTCGCCTCCGCGCCTTCTCCCCCTCCCTCCCCCCCAGGTGGGCCGCACGTTCGCTTCCAGCGGCGGAACGGTGGAGGCGATGCACGTGGTGATGAGGCAGGTGGGGGGTTGGGGAGGGAGAGTGGGGGGGGGGCACCAGAGTCCGGGAGGGGGGCCCGGGTGGGGCATGCACATGGTGCCACCCCCCGGGGCAGCTGGGCGCCTCCGGCAGCCGGAAGGTTACCCAGCAGCAGCAGCAGCAGCAGCATCAGCAGCCTGATCCCATGGCCTAAATCTGGGCATGTTGCATGTAGCTATACGCGGCTGCTCCAATGCCCACCCCCCAGGGTCGGGGTATCGCGGCTAACATCGCGGGCGGCACCCACCACGCCTTCAGAGACAGGTGCGGGGGCGGATGAGAGCTAGGGCGGAGGGAGGGGGTGGCAGGGGGGGCTGGGTGGGGTACTGCCTTCTAGTAACACATCCGCTCACCCAAACCCACCGGAACCCTGCATGCCGGCATACCTGTGTGCCCCCCGCCTGCTTGCAGGGGCGAGGGCTTCTGCATCTTCAATGATATAGCCATCGCTGCCAGTGTAGCTTTGAGGGACTACGGGTGAGCCGCCGCCGGGCATGCGCGTGTGGGTTTGTGTGTCATGTGTCATGCAAAACCGACCCTGACCCTGCGCACATGCGCGTGTGTGTATGGCGTGTGTGTTGCAAAAGCACCTTTGTGTGGGGTGTGTTGTGGCCCCTGGGGAAGGGTTTCGGTTGGCTGGCTGTTAATTATTGGCCCCCCCGGCGGCCCCGGGTTGCCTGCCTAAATAGGACCTACTCCTCCACCGCACCCTACTCTACCTCCTCTCTCCCTCCCCTACCATGCCCCTTGGGACCATACCTCCCCGTCTACTCCCCTACCACCCGCTGCCATGTGCTGCTTCCACCCCGCCCCCCGCCCCCCGCCCGGCCCCAGCCTGCACTCCATCCTGGTGGTGGACCTGGACGTGCACCAGGGCAATGGGACCGCCGACATTTTCCAGGACGACCCACGGGTCACCACCTTTGACATGTTTGGTGAGGGCAGCTCAGGGCAGCTGGCCAAGCGCGCGCGTGGGCATGCTTGCATTGACATGCTGACCTGTCGGAATGTGCATGCAATTAGAGAATGGTGTGTGTTACGGGAAAGCTGTGGACAGTGAACGCACTACCCAGTTCATCCCGTCCGCCCTACTGCCCCACCGCCTCCCACCTCTGTCCCGTCTTCCCCTACCTCCCTCCTCCCCCCTACTCGCCCCGCCTCCCAGGTGACAAGAACTACCCCTGGCGCAGTCGCCGGCGCAATACCTACGACCTGCCGCTGCCCGATGACACAGGGGACGAGCCGTACCTGGAGCTGCTCAGGGTGGGGCTGCGGGGGGACTGTTGGGGGCTGCGGGGAGAGAGGGGCTGCGGGGGCGGGGGCTGTCTCCCCCAGGACACCCAGGTACCCGAAGCGCAAGAGTAGGCAAGAGTGCTGGAGGGCCCTACTCCCTGCTGGTTGGGATTTGCTCCTTGACAGGGGGGCAGCACTGGTACTAGTAGCTGTGCGGCAGCCTGTGGTACGGCACCCCTCCACGTGTAAGCCGCTTCTTGCCCCCCAGCCACCTGCCCTTCCCCCTGGCTCCCTCTCCCCACTCCGGTGCTTCAATGCTCATTTGTTTTCCCCCACCCGCCCCCTCCTCCGCCGCATTTCCCCATTCCCAGTCCTGGCTGCCCCGGCTGCTAAAGCAGCACCGGCCGCAGCTGCTGCTGATGCAGGCGGGAGTGGATGCGCTCAAAGGGGACAGGTGAGCTGGCTGGCTGGGGGCCTGGGGGGCGGGGCGGGGAACACGAGCCCTATCATGTTGCCTAGGACACCGTAGTGGTAAAGGCCCGTAGCCGGAAGTGGGGAGCGGGGGTGAGCGGGTGCAGGTGCTACATGGAGCTCTAGGGTGGCCCCTACCCCCTACCCTTCCCTTGACTCCATGCACGCTGCCGTGCCCATACACACCCGCTACATGCCGTACATACGGCCAGTTTTCTTAACACATGCACATGAACGTTTCGCCTCACGGCCAGTTATTGTAACACATGAACGCTCCCCCCCGCAGCTTCGGTCGTCTGGCTCTGAGCCGGGGCGGGCTGCTGGCGCGGAACAATCTGGTGTGCGGGGCGGCGCTGCAGGCGGGGGTGCCGATGGTGGGTTTTGGGGGGGAGGTAATGAGGAAATTGACAGGAGGGGAGGGGACCGCGGGGGGTTGGGGCGCAACAGGCTAGGGAGGTTGTGTGCATGGAAGATGCAGGGTGGGGCGGGTCGTGAAGTGGCGATGAGCGTGGGGGAAAAAAGAAATTCCAAAGTGTGGTATGGGGTGCGTATGGGGAGGCAAATGCCTGCGAGCTGTCGGTACTAATGCCGGTGCCAAGTGTGTCTGTGGGAGGGAGCTGCGATATGGATATACGCATTCCAAAATGCCAAGGCGGACTGCCCATCCCCTCATAACCTCCTCCTCCTCCGCTTCCTTTCCCCATCGCTTTGCCCTAACCTGTGGTTTCCCATGGTTTGGTACCTGGTCTCTGACCCCCTCCAGGTAATCACCATGGGCGGCGGCTACACGCGCCCCCCCGACGCCTCCGTGGACTGCCACACAGACGTGTACCGCACAGCAGCATACCGGCTGGCAGCATGGGCGCGAGCGGAGGGGTGGGGGAGCGGGCAGGGGGAGGGGCGGGGGAAGGGGACGACGGAGGGGGCGCTGGAAGGGGAGGGTGGGGGGAGATTGGGAGTAGCAGGAGCGGCAGAAGCAGCGACTGGGAAGAACTAGACGGGAGGTGGCAGCTGGAGTGATCGACTTGGGTTGGCTTTTTATCTCCAGGGTGACTGTAGAGATAGGCAGAGACGCGTTCTTGCATGAAAGTGTGTTCCTTTCGTTTTATAGGAAAGCTGGCCGCAGACAGCAGGATAGAGCTTTGGACGGCTTTCCCTCGGAAGCAACCTTTGAGTGTTTATGTGGCGCCGGCAAGCGCGGGTGCGTTTGTGTACGTGCGCTCGAAGGCCGAGTGGGAGTGGGAGCACGAGCGGTGTGAACATTTATTGCCCGACAGCTTTGGGTGTGAGAGTAGGAGTGGGAACGACGTAGCATGCTAGCCATGTGGGTCTTCGCTTACGGGTTGGCGGAGGAGGTGGGGAGTGGTTCGTGGGACCGCGGCCCTAGGGCACGTCTTGTGTGCCGCTGTGGAGGGTGCCCTGTCGCAGATGGCTTACCCCTCAGCTTTTCGGATGGCTTTCCTTGCTTCAACCCCAGTGTTTGTAGATGATACATGCCTCTTTATTACTTCATTAGCACTTGCATGCCCCCCAGCGAAAGGTGGCAGGTCATGGCAGGTCTATGCTCATGGCAACCAGCGATGAAGCGTGCCATGTGGCCTACATAGTGGCTTGAGGACGCATGAGCCACCTCAAAAGCATGAAAACTTTTGTCATTTAGTAATAGTTTCATCCCAGAACAAAACAAAATGCTCGAAGAGCACCCTCGGTATTGAGGTCGCGATAGACTGTACACGAAAGAAAGGGGCCATTGCGCAGCAGTTATTGTGCAGTGTTAAAGCTTTCAACATGTTCTGATAAAATCAATAGATTAATAATGTTAGCCTATCGACAATGCAATTTCAAGCCGCCATGAGTGTACGGCACCGGTCGGCGTGTTCTAAAGCCTTGCCTCCGCGCCTTTCTCTCCCTCTCGCCGCGCCCACCGTTTCTTTGCTGCCTTCTGGTGCGTTTAGTACCTGCGTTGCGGTTCAGTTCCAGCAAATCCTGCCGCCTTCCCTAAACATAGATTACCACTTTCAGGTCAGGCTATAATCTGCAAAGATGGGCCACAACGACGTCTGGAACAGCCACCCTAAGAACTACGGCCAGGGCTCGCGCCAGTGGTAAGCTTTAGGGGCTCGCCACCAATGCTGCGCCGGCGGTCTAGGCTGCGCTGGGAAATTTCAACCAGCAGTCATGGCGTGGGCTCGTAGCTGACATAAATAACTTTATTTACTGTTTGCAGCCGGGTGTGCGGCAACAACCACGCCCTCATCCGCAAGTATGGCCTGAACGTCTGCCGTCAGTGCTTCCGCGAGAAGGCCGCTGACATCGGCTTCGTCAAGGTACGCTTATTATATTGCATATTAGAAGCTATCGGTTTTTGCATGGTGCGACAATATGGGAACTAACTGTGGTATCCCCGCCTGTGCCTTCCCCCCACCCCCTCGTTTCTCCCTTCGCAGTACAAGTAAGGGCTTGACGCCTTGATGTAGTCCCTGGGGCTGCTTGTGGGCCTAGAGCCCTGTTGTAGCCCAAGAGGCTGCTTGTAAGGTGCTGAGGCGTTGGAAGTTGCTTCCCCCTGTTCCTGGTTCTTGGACATAGCAGCAAGATAGCACTGGCAGATACAGCAGCAGCAGCTCGGACGGAACGAAGCATGCAGCAGCGTGGTCGCTCTTGACTATTCCGCTTGCAACAGCTGGCAGAGGAGCAAGCAGGTGTGGGATCCCCAACGGCTTTGGATACCAGCTCGAAGACGGCCCGTTACAGCACGCAGCCATTGCACATTTATACGCGTCAGGTTCTGCCCTGGACATGATTACAGTAGCCTACTGGGTGCTGTGGCTTATCCTGGAACGGAGCGGAGAGGATCCAGGAAAGACAGCTATGCATGCAGCAAACAAGTAAAGGGGTATCGTACAGGGTACATGGGGATTGTATTCCCCTGGATTTAACAAAACGGATGAGCAGTATTGACGACGCCCATGTAGGAAAAACACCAACAGCATCATACATGACCCAATGGGATCTCTCTAATCTCGAGAGCTTGAGGCACGCTACACTATTAAGAGACATAGCAGCCTCGGCAATCAGTCTTTACAGACGCAACGCCAACAGAATACACCGCAACCACCAGTATCCAACCAAATCGCTTGCATAACATATAGTACACCCTGCGGCGCCCAAAGCCAACCTGCGCGCGCAAGCACTTGCTCTTCCATGCACAATCAGTGGCCGGCTGCACATGCGGCAATGCTTCACCCCCTGCGAACTACTAAGATTCCAGCAGTCCAAAACTCTACAACACCTGCGCGCTAAGTCTCACACGCAGCGTAAACCAGTGTGATACACGCAGCGCACTCCTACCCTCCCCTCAGCAGCGCCCGCTACGGCACTTCTTGCCCCGCCGCTCCAGCACGCGCTGTCGCAGCCGAGTCACCAGCTCAGGCACCGCCTCGGCGCCCCCGCCACTGTCGGCGTCCTCTTCCTCGTGCTTGTCCTTGTCCTTCTTGCCCTCCTTTTTGCCCTCTTTCTTGGGAGGTCGCGGTGGCGGGAAGAGGCTGCGCACGCGGAGGGCCATCTCGTCTGTGAGCGGCGACTGCCACCTGCACGCAGGGCGGCAGCGCAACCCAACACGGTAAGCAGCACCGGCAGTCGGCAGGAGAGGGCAGGAAGGAAGGAAGGCAGGCGGCGCACACCCGGCTGGGCGCCACTGCGTGTAACCCGGCCTTAGATGCCCGTATGCATGCAGCCATACCCCCTCCCTTCGCATACCGGTACCTCGTATCCCATCGCTCCCCGAACCCCACCTTTCCAGCGGCCGAACCGCCTGGTCCAGCGCCTTGCTGGCTCGGAACTGCGGCAGCGGCGCCTCCGCCTCCCACTCGGCAGACCCGGGAGCGGCGCCTACCGCCCCCCTGCCCCCAGCTCTAGAGGAGGGCCCGCTGCGTGCGGAGCCCTGTGATGCACCCGGGCTGCCGCCGCCGCCACACAGAGCCCCGCCGGCAGCAGCCGCCTGCTCCCCGCCGTGCAGCCGCGGCAGTGCCAGCCAGCGGAGGACGCCGCCGTGACCCGCCCTGGCCTGAACGGCGGCACGCTCGCGCTCTGCTGCGTCGTAACGCTCGAAGGCGGCGCGGAGTGTACGGCAGCCCTGTATTGGAAGCACGCGAGAAGTCGAAAGGGCCCTTTTGTCGTGTCAAGCAGTCCAAGCATGTTGAGCGTGTGAGCGAGCAGGATTGGAGGTCGCGGAGGGGCCGGATGAAGAGGAACATAGAGGAGGCTGCAGGGTTCCGCACCTGGCGCGCCTGGTAGTGCGACACCACCTTGTAGGCCGTGTAGTAGAGCGTGACGTTCGGGAAGGGGGTGATCTGGATGGGAGCGGGGAGAGCAGCGGCAGGGGGAAAGAGGAATGAGCAAAGAGGAATAACCAAAGAGGTGAAGGGAAAGCGCCCCCACTCGCCCTGCGAAAACCGGGCACTAAAACATGTACCCGGCAGGCAGACATGCAGGCTACAAGGGCAGCCAGTTCCCACCACCGCCGTTCTCTCGGCCCCAGCCTAACGATACCAATCGGTACCCCCCCCCAGCTGCAGTAGCCCCCATTGCTTACCATCAGCGGCAGCTGCGGCAGTGTGGCCAGCGCCCACCCCAGCTGCAGGGGCAGGAGAGCAAGTGGTGGAGCGGTTGGAGCGAGGGTCGGGTGGGAAACGGGAGTCGGGGAGGAATAGGCCAAGCCGTAAGAAGATAGAAGGCAGTCATTCTATACTCCACACTGCAAGGCCTGTTGGGCTATTAACAAAAAGCAAGGTTACGCCATGCATTGCTGGCGTTACAGTCCTGGAGTCGTTGCCACAGCCAAGCCCATTCCCATTCCCCCGGACGCCAGCCTGCACCCACAATGCGTCGGTTGTGGTAGTGCTCCTGTGACAGTGCCAACCGCCGCAACCGCCGCCGCACCAACCGCTCCTTCATTGTGACCTACACGCAGGAAAGAAGGTTGCGGAGGGGAATAAGCCAGGTAAGCGGCACTGGCTCCAGACCAACTTCCCTCCTTGCGCTGGTCACCCATGTCATGCGGGATGTGAGCCAACGCAAAGCAATAAGGTAGGCGCCCGCGACTCTTCCATGCTTCCCATATGCCCCAGCAAGCAGCGCTGGAGAAGGGATGAAAAGAAGACGCAATGTGTTGAGGGAGGAAACCTCGCAATGTGTTGAGGGAGGAAACCTCTTGCACTGCCCTCCTGCACGACCTACCGCCGCTCTCCTCACATGCCGAAACAGGGGAGACAGCGCCACCCTAGCCCATTGCACCAAGACAGCACCTAAGCTATCTGCCTAGCATTGTAGCCGATTAGCAGGTGGGAGCCAGGTGGTGGTGCTGCTGGCTTGCTACGTGGTAGTTGCCGTACCGGCCCTACCGGGTGTATGATTTCCAATGAGCTCGCATGGTGCGGCACGGACTTCAGGAAAGTCTCCAGCGGGTCCTCCTGGGATAGCACCCACTGCGCCAACCTAGTATTGTGCAATAGCGGGGGAAGCTGTTTGAAAGGTTGGTGAATAAAGAACCCTAGTAACGGGCTTCGGGGAGCGGCGTCATAAGTGTGTCATTGGCTGGAGGAGGTCGGAAACCCCAGACCCCTTCATGCTACCAACACCAGACCTGTAAAGCTTATTTTTGAATGTGCCCTCATCAGCAGCTTGGATTGATTTCCACTGGTGCTGCGCAGCGACACTGATCTGCACGTGCGCGACGATTCAACTACAGGTCCTTCTGCTTTGACGCAAGGATAATGGCAAAAATATCACCTTGTTGCTAACTTCCTTCCCAAATAGCACCGCCTTGTCCTGCAACGAGCCCCCTTGTGACCAGTGCAAGGAGCGCTGTGCTGCAGTCTCTGCGGCCGTGTGTTCACTCCATACGTGGTATAACCAGTGCTTTTGATACACAGGAACGACAAGTACTTTTGCTCTCATTTACTGAAGTTACAACTGCCCAGCTGCCCAACGTCTGCATACACTACGTTGAACACCGGGCATGCGATGTTGTTTTTCCGTATAGCTTATGAACTGTTGAAGCGTCGGTGGCTTTGCCAACCTGGCACCGATCCGCATGTGCATCATACGGCATCCCTGTGCATCATACGGCAACCCAGGCCTGTTGACCGGTACATATGGCCAGTCCATAACAGCGTTTGAACATCCGTGTCTTATACCTATAATAGATTTACATACCGACTATATCTTTGTGACACGACGTGTCCTGTATTTGTCAGGCTTTCCGAAAAAAGAGTCTAAGGAAGGCACCGTTCGGAACAGTCCGTTCCCGAATAGCCTTGCCTAAATCCCCAAGCAGCGAGGCACAGTAGCTATGGCTGGCGCGCGCGAAACAGTGAACATTTCAAAGCCGGCGACAGCACGAAAGGACATGGAGAAGCGCCTGTCTGACGCCAGCTCCTCGGCTTCATCCCTGGACTCGGCTTCTACTACGTTCGGACGCGTTGGGCCAGTTACACGGGAGGAGGTCCTTCGAACTCAGCGCGGACCTAACACTGCAACTGCTCGCAGCGCGCTCGGCACCCTCGCATTTCAAGTAGACACGTAAGGCCCTGGCCAATTCGCGTTAATATGCCAAGCTTTTGCTGCGGATCACACAAGGAGCGCTGTCTCGTTGTTGGGCCTGCCCTGTTGGCCAGCACGTGCCTGCCCATCGAACGACTTCCTCCCTGCCGTGCCATGCTTATTTCCATCTGCACGTACTCGCTTATGGATATACACATTACAGCCCACATTAATTTGATGTGCACTCGCAACCCTTGCGCATCACTCAGCACCCTGTCTCCTCGTCTCCCCCCTTTCCAGACCCATGCTCCACGCGTTGCACCTCTTCTCGTCCGCCAAACACAAGACGTTTCGCTTGCTAGTAACGCCACCTGCCTGGCGTGCACAGGCATGGGTCCTGCCAGCTCTGCCACCTGTCGCATGTACCCCCCTCCACACCAAACGCATGGGTCCTTCTTCTTTTCCCTACGCATGCCGACACCCGCCCCTCCTTCCTCCGCCTTCCCTCTAAATGTTAACCCAATCGCTCTGACTGCTGCTGATTCCCCCCCGCCGCAGCTTCCTGGGCGGCATGCTCTACCACAACAGCGAGAAGGTCGTGATCTACCTGGTGCTGCTCATCCTGCTGCCGCTGCTCGCCATGGGAGCTGGCAAGCAGCTGGCCGGCCTGGCGACCAGCGTCATGGCGGCCACGCGGCGGCTCACGGCAGCTGCTGAGGCGGCCATCTAGGGCCATCTAGGGCGGCAGTCGGAGCTGGGGGGCGTTGGGTACATACCGGCACTTCAAAGGGCGCTGCATGGCACATGGGGATTTGTACAGGTACGAGATCTGCAGCGAAGATGCTGGCTGCGCCAGCGTTACCAGGGTCGAGGCGTCGGTGCTGCTGACGCTCTTGCTGTGTAGGTGCTGCTCCTGCTGTGGCATTTGTCAGACGTTCGTCATGATGCTCGGCGACTTTTTTGTATTTCTTGGATGTTGGTTTCGTTGATTGTGAGCTGACTTGGTTGTGTGGTTCGGACACCTGTTGTGGTGCCATGGGGTTATGTTCTGTAGTCATCAAGAGCTGTGATGGTGGTGTCGATGGTATGTTTTTGATTCGTGACATCGTGTGCTTGATCTTGTTTTGTGTGCTTGATCTTGTTTTGTGGGGGCGTTGGTAATGCCGCTATTGACGCGGCGTGCTGCTCTCAACCAACACAGACCCGCTCCATCCGCAAGCACGCGTGTCCGTCGCAGGAAGGTGCGTCGGACGCTTCCGGTGCATGAGTGCCCTTCACACATTTACCTCTATCCCGCATGTCATGAATGTCATGTACAGTGCAAACGGTACGGTATGAGTGTACGGCGGCCGGTATAAAGGCAGCTGTACAACACATGTTACATCATGCTATGTTGTAGTTGCTGTGCAGCGCCGATGTTGGTGTGATGGTTTGCTTGCCTGGACCGCCGGGGATAGGCGGTTGCCCTCTGCGGTAGTGATATGCTGCTGGTGTTGGGATTGAGCTGGCACACGTGGGGTATGGAAGGGTCTTACGGGGGTAACGCCCAGTTTTTGTGCGAAGAAGGTTCATTGTGTATTGCTGGCAATGAGGGCAGATTGTATGCATTGTGGCACAAATATCATCCGCTACTCATCATTTGCTGTTTAATTTGGGCAAGGGCTGAGCGCTTGCAGCCGCCTTGGGCAAAGCCGTTTTTCCCGCGAGTTGCAGGTTATGGACCGTTTCAAAGCGTTTGCGCGTTATTCCTGCTGCATGAACACAAGATCGGGAACCTGGCCTCGTTTATTACAATTCCTTTGGGACACCCCCAGCGTTTACAATTACGCGGGTTAGGGTTCTGAACAACTGAACAACGGTATCTACCTTCACAGGCATGTTGATCGCTGTGCGGGAGCGCTTTGGTTGCTGTTCTTCGGGACCTGGTATCTGAACCTGTAGTCGCTCTGCTTTCCCACATGCTTCCATATTGCTGAAGATTGGCTGTTGTGCACACGTGTAACACCTTACATGACATGGTACGGCAGCATGGTTTCACGGCAGCGCACGTATGACGGCAACGTGGCCAAGCCATAAGGGTTTCAGGCTGCTGTCAACTGGGAATTCCTATGCCGGATAGCGAGTGTTTGGGCTTTTAGACCGACTTGGCTGGATCCCAGATCCTCCTACTGGTACAGAACCGGTTGAGAACGAAGGTTTGGCGTGACGAGCTCCTCCACTTGCAGCGCGTTTCCAACTGCAGGCTGGTCTTTGAGATCCCTGTGCATGCTTGGTGTTGGGCTATGCCCATCCTGTAACTGACAAAGCTGTGGATACGGGCAAAATCCCTACTTGTGTACCGTAATCTCCTCCCATACCCTTGCATCCTACTTGCTTCCATTCATTATGATAAAGACAAGAGGGCTTACGAACATACCAACGCCTAACCAGGCCTAAGCTCGTAATGGGCTACAGTATAAGGATGATGACATCGCTCGCCGAAAGCCCCGCTACCCTGCTGAAATATTAGTATTGTTCCCGTTAGTGCCATGAAACAATATTGGTTTTCTTCTGCACTTTTACATTAGTGTTTCGCATTTTAATTCACTGTTCGTAGACTGCGATTCCTGGTGTGATGCGCCTCAGCTGGACACAAAAGAAGATATACAAGCAACCAGTTTACATGCATTTTCCTGCGCAAGTTAAGACACTGCGCTTCCGTACAAACATCATCGCGTCACCGTACTGACACCGCAGCCTGGTAACCAAGCGAAACTATTAAAGAGATTATGCTACCCTACCATGTTGTTGTCGCCGTAACAGCACCAAGCTATAATAACGCTTACAGTAAAACTCGCGCCAATATCCTGTGGAAGCTTCTAGCTCTACTTCTCATTTCACACGGCACTGAGCATTTTGTTATTAGCTTGTCCGCCTTTACTAACTGCTAAACAGCAGCCAAGTTGTTAAACACTCACAAGACCATGAGCAACCAAGACGTTACTTTCCAACACGCCAACAAACGCGAAGAAATTATTCGCATGCGGCCGGGCTGCCAACCTAAACAATCGCGGAGCAAGCTTGACGCTATACTGTACAGCGTTCATACGTAAGTAATAAGCCAACGTGGCTCGCACACTTGCGAGCATAGGGCGCGAAGCATTTGCGTCCTACAATTCAATCGATATCACAGTCAGGGCTTGTCAGGGTTACACCATAGAGACAATTTATCCTAACAAGCTGCTTAGCCTTAACAATCAGGATGCTATCCTTGCGTCGCTAACCAACAAACAAATACCAGGTCGCTCACATTTCTATACGTTGCATTGTGTGTAACTGCAGGTTAATTGGCGGGCCGGTTTGGAATGATTTCGAGTCGGCACTTGTCTACCTGGTCATTTTGTGCGTCCTGGCGCTAACGGCGGCCGGGGCCTACAAGCAGGTGGCGAAGTTAGCCGTTAACACAGTGCTACCGCTCGTGAAGTCAGTCAGCCAGTGAGCGGAGCGCAAACATCAAAGAGCCGCTGCGTAATGTCAAAGTGGAAATGCCCGCGCACGCCGAGAAGGGCAAATGTTTTGAGAGAAGGCGCGTTGCTATGTAATGGGACTGCTCAAGGGTCCCTTGCAGGATAGGTGAACTGGTGGTGGGTCTAACGCGCCCGTGGCTCCGGGGGGGCACTGTGTTGTTGTGCAGTGGATCGGTCGAGCCAAAGACGGGATGCGAGTCTCTTAACGAGACGAGGGTTTCTTTGCGAGCGTACGTGCTAAAAGCATTGTAGACTATAAGTATAATTATTCTGTCGTAAGAAGGCCGTGCCATTGCGCGTGTAATTCTGATATTTAGGTTAAATTTCTATTGGGTATTGTGACTTAAATGGGGTTGTGCAGGAGGAAAAGGGGGTGCAAGTAGGCCGGTCTCTAAGGAGGGATGGCATCTTGATCTTGCGTGTGGTTGTACTGAACGTGATTCTTTTGGACGGGTAGCGGCGAACCACGTAAAATTCTCCATGCACGCCCATATTTACTACTAGTAATGGGGACACGAGTGGTTACCTACCTAGCTGCCCGGTGAATTTGCGACATGCATATATAATTTTATAACATTGCCGTACATTGCATGTAAGACGATCAATCAACCTTGAGTGCAACTGCGCTGCCCTCCTCTCACCGCATACTTAAATACGCACACCTCTTGCAAAACTGTCAGCTTCATCTTCTCTCGGCAAAGTTCCCAGCGCCCTCAGTTCCCTACTTCTCTCACCCTCAGAAGATCAGTGGCAAAGTCGCCTTTCCCTCACACTCAAGGCCCTCCTATGCCCCTCTCATCTTCTTCGCAGTCACATAGGTCAAGATCACAGCCATCAAATTACACTGCCTCGCATGCCGTCGTATGCCGGGTCTACTCCTAATGCAACCATGCCGGGCTCCAATGCACTCTGAACCACTCCTCTCTTGCACCCCATCCTTCCGCTTCCAATATTGCACCCCCCCCAAGGTGAAAACACTCCAGGCAAGTCCCCTCGATACATTCTTGGCATCACCAACCCTCAATCAAATCCGGGAGCAGTTCTACGCAGGACACCCTAGCGACCGCGACACCCCACCGCCTCGCCGCCCTCCGCCCCTCACCGCTTGTCCGCTCACCGCTCCGTCCGGACCCTCCTAGCCCAGCACAGCAGCACCTTGCTCTGCCCTGCTCTCACGCAAACCCCTTGCCCTTACCCGCCTTGGCCGGCGCCTCCCCCAGCAGCTCCTCCTGGGTGAGGTCGTTGCTGCGGGGAGCCAGCTCGTCCCGGCGTTTCAAAATGTACGACTGGAGCTCACGGAACCTGCCGAGGAGCGGTGGGAGGAGGGAGGAGCGGTGGGGTCGGGACGCAAGTAGCAGGAGTTAACCGGGGAAGTGCTGGCCAACAGGAGGAAGGGTAAGTTGCTGGGGTATTCCTAGCGCTCACGGACGCTGCCGGGCGTCAGCCCGGGCTCATGCAGCGATCCTTGTTGGCATGGAGGCACCAGTGGTGAATGGGGAAGGGAGGGTTGAGGATGCCGCCAGATGCCGCTCTTCAAAAGGGGGCGGCATGCCGGCATCCCGGGTGCCCTCCCGGCCTCCCCGCGGCCCACCTGTCCAGCGCGCGGATCTCGATCTTGCTGCCGTCGTTGAGCACCACCACCATGTCACCCCACACGCCCACACCGCGCGGAATGCTCCTGCAGGGGTTGGACAGGTCAGGCAGGCCGGCGCTTGGGGAGGCAAGGGACATGTTCTTTGTCGAATGCCACAGATGTAATGTTCTAGAAGGCTTCTGAAAGGAGCTTCCCTGACGGCCTGGAATCGTAATTTTCCTAAAGTTTCGCTGGTGTCTTTCCTGATACCTATGTACGACTGTACGACGCACATTTCTAGATCCTCGCTGTTGCTGATATCATCAAGACCATCCAGTAGACGGTAGTAAGAACGGCATAACGAAGTCTTACTTAAAGGGTCACGCCCAAATCTTGATGCGCTCTTACGTCTTTGACTTCAGAGTCAGGACTTAAGAGCGTATCAAGAAAAGGGCATGACCCTTTTAGTTAAGAGTTCGTTGCACCGTTCTTCCTCCCGTCTACTGGAACATGTGCGGCAGAAGGCAGGATAGGTGGTTCGATAGCCCTGGCCTGCTCTGTGACTGTCCCGCAGGCCGGCGCAGGGGGAGCCTCAGTGTCGTACCAGCAGTTCACGCCGTGCAGCGGATACCTCGCTGTCAGGTCGCCCATTTGTTGGAATTGGCGGAACCCCTCCCATGAGCGAGGCCGGTGCACATACCCTTTAGCCTCGCAGTGCCTGCCCATGCAATGTCCCACACACCCTTAACAATTGCCGAACCGTCCCCCCATGCATCACCATTTGCCCTTGCCGAGTCCTGCCCTAAGCAGACGCACCTCACTTCCTTGACCTCCTGATACGCCGCGTCCAGCTGCTCAGCTGCGAGGGGCAGGACGCGAGGCAGGCATGCAGCATAAGTTTGCACAGAGAACTAAGAAAGCGTTGAAGGGGCCTGGAGCTCAAGCAAAAATGCAACACCCAAACCCGCCCACCATCCAAACCATCAGTGCCAACCTACTCTTCCATGGTGCATTCGTTTTCACGGAAATGCGCTTGTCTGTAAACCGGTACTGCACGAACAGCGCCCGCCCGACGGCAGCGATGGTGAGGGGCAGCCAGAAAAGGGTGGAGCCGAGTGCTAGATTGATCGCCAAGTCGCCGCGGTGAGGAGGGCCCTCATAGTATAGCTTTTCGTCAGAGAAGTCGTAAACGACCTTCTCCTTCTCTGCGCGGAGCGGCGGTGAAGCGGTGGTTGAGATGGTTATGCATGGATGAGTGCATACGTGACTGGGAGAAAAGGGATCTACAAATGGGCGACCCTGCAATACCTACTTTTCTTAGGGGCTGGTGCTTCTTTCTCAGCCTTTGCAGCCTTTGCTGACTGGCCATATGGTGCAGCACCCTTAGCCTGCCTCAACTTGGCGAGCCGCTTCTCCAGCTCCTCGTCATCTATAAGTGCAACGCAAGCGCACAATTTGGCTCTATGTATAACTGGGACACGGCGGTTATACTTGGACATTGCTTGCGCGTACCGTCCACGGCTGGACCCGCTCGAACGACAAGGAGTTGCGGTGTTCGAGAGCGCGCGGTTATTGTTGAAGCAAAAGGCCTAAAGCATGGTCGATGCGCTACACTACTGCAACTGCAGACGCCTGAGCGCTGCAAGGCTGAGTTCATGTTCGCTATCTTGAATGCGCCAACGTATGTGTTCTTCTGCAGCTGCGCTAAAATAGCATACAGGTTAACAGTCTAGATAGCTGTGCAAAGGCAAGACATCGGCCCTGCAGGAGCCACACGATGGATATGCCGTACGCATAGCATGAGCCCAGCATAGTCCGTCTTTGCAAGCATGGAGGTACAACTGATGTACGCTTGCGGCGTTATACTATATATTTGTAAACCTCGTTCTTGCACTCACAGTGGTCCCAGAGGTCGGTCGTCATCTCGTCAAGCAACCATAGCCATTCGTTAGCCGCGGTAGGGGTATCTGCCGTAGTCGCGCGCAGTGCTTTCTAGCACTTAGGACCGTGTAAGACAGCATTCTTGGGTTCCTAGGGATGGGGGACTTAGCTTTGCAGTGCACAACGCACAGCTATGGTCAGTGGAAAAAAAAACACCCACATGTCTACTTCCCCTGGGTTGCTATCTGCGTCTCCAAATGGTTAAGTTGTCAGGCACCAAGCTCAGGCGCGACGTGCCACAGCAGGGTCTTAGCTCGGCTTCATAGCGCCATGACGCATGTGCTCTGCTAGGGGTGCAGCCATGGCCCAAGTTGCAGGTCGCACAGCATAGCTAGCCAGCTGGTATTAAGTTCTATATCGTACGCGGGGTTATCGTTCAGGCAGGAGTCAAACACTGTGACCCACACGTGTGCCCAAACACTGCTCGTTCCATGTTAGCTCCTAAGGTATGAGCTGATGTGCTGCAGCGTCCGGCTCTTGCAGAGCACAAATTTTTTTATACCTTCTGGTTTCCAGCATTGGCGTGGTAAAGACGACCTTACCCTAGCAGCGCTGTTGAGTTTTCCAGAAATGTCCGCATGGCACGTCCGCAGTAGCAATGGCAGGGTCATGCAAAGGTCCGGCAAAGTGGTCATGCAAACATGAAAAGTTAAGTACTTACATTTACCACTCCTTTCCTGGGTTCCATATGCAATGTCGCATGCATTGTACGGCAGCTTCTGGAAATTTGGGCTCGGCCAGCGACGATGGAAGGGGTGACGCCTTTTCCGAATCAATCAGTAAGGGTTTGCACTCTTACGTACGCTTCTGCTCGCACTTCGATTAGTCCTATTATCAAGCCTCCGTTCGCTTTAGCTCGCCAGCCCTTTTCAGCGCCATAGTACTTGATACATTTATGCTCTTCCTGTAGCGTATCTTAATATACAAACGACCTGGCAAGAAGCTTCAATCCTTAGCCAAACGCAACCATGGCAAAATGGGGAGAGGGTGATCCACGTTGGCTTGTGGAACATCGAGAGGACGGCAAGAATGTTAACGGGTGCGTGCTTGCTATGGGTCGGCCCCGTGACCATGCGGACATTGCCATGGATGTGTGACCTGTGCTTGATCGAGTACTTATTTCGCACATGCCGGTTGCTTGGGAACTTCGCAGATGGCATTGGGAGGAGAAGGATCGCAAGGAGTGGACTAAATCGCGGCTAGCGGAGCTGTTCTCGGGGCTGGTACTGCTCGACGCAGAGGACGCAAGCGAAGGGGAGCCGGCAAAGCTTAAAATAGAGCGCCTAAAAGACTTGACGGGCGATGTGGGTATTGGCGCGGCGTTTGTGGCGGGGCTTATAGTGGGGTTGTCACGCTGTGCTCACAGCGTAATGGAATTCCGCGGGTTACCGGTACTTGTTGCAAAGAGGGAGGAGACGGGAGCCACGCTGAGGGGGGTTTAGTACTAGCGGGTTGACCACAGCTCTAATCAGGGAGACCTCATGGCTTTTGGTATAATGCTTCCTAGCAAAGCCGCGCATGGCCCAAATAACCAAGTCCACCGTCTTATCCCCGCAATCTTCTCCCCCCCTCCTGCCCACCGGCCGTTTCGGCCCCTACGTGCCTCCTTTGACTCCCCCACCCTCCTCCGCCGACCCCCTGCCCACCCTCTGCTCCTCTGGGGCATCCCTCCTTCTCCTCCCTATTGCCCTCACTTGTGCCCTCACTTGTGCTTACATGGGGTGGCCTCTCTTCGACCCCCCCTCCCTCAGGCCTCCATCACCACCCGCAAGGGCAACAAGCGGTTCGCGGTGTTCGACATGGGGCTGGTGCTGGTGTGGGAGGGGGCGGTGGCGGGAGGCGCCGGCACGGTGGGTGGCGGGCGGCTGGGGTCACGGAACCAGCAGCGGGCGGCTGAACTGGCCCCCGGCTGATGCCTCGGTGGTGCTGTTTCCGCGGGTGGTGGTGGTGCTGCTGCCAGATGTTACACTCTTACACACCCTGTTCGGCTACCTGTTAGCGCGGGATCGCAGCAGCAGCAGCAGCACCGATAGCAGGCGGTCTACCGGTATTGCCGTGTGTAACGCATAATGCTGTGTGCAGCGACCCTCGGTTCCTCGCCCGCCCTGGGAGGCGGGAGGTGCTGAGGTGTGGTGCCGCCCAGCAAGGCGACATAACACCTTCACCCTGGCCACACCGCCTCGCCCTCCCCTCCCCCTCTAGACGGCCGCATGCTGGGCTTCTTGGTTGGATACCAACATACCATGTATGCTGTAGTTACCTGGCGCCCCTCACCCTCAACCCTGCCCTTCCCGCCGCACGTCACGTCCTGTGCACACGCACGCACTGTGTCCGCAGGTGCGCGGCGACATCCGGGTGGAGGAGGTGCACTCCACGGGGGACGAGGACGACTACGTGTACTCGGTCACCGCGGAGGGAAGCGGCGCGGCGCAGGTGCGGGGGGATGGCTGTATGGGGCCCTGCAGCGCAGCGCGAAGGGCACAGGCCCAAAGGGGTTGAACTCAGCCACTTATCTCGGCCACTTACGACCCCCCCCCACCGCTGCTGCCGCTGCAGGACAAGCTGCGGTCGCTGGTGGCGGGTGCCGCCATGAAGGCCCGCGTGTACGAGGTGATTGCGCAGTGCATCCGGGAGCTGCGGGAGCAGGCGTGACAGGAGTGGCACACGCGGGGGTGCCCGGGGGAGGGGGGAGCGAGAGGAGAAGACGGCACGGGAGCGGTGCGGTGGTGGAGGGCTGTCTGGCGCCGGCGGCTGGAGCAGGGCGGCTGTGCTGCCAGCTGGTGGGGGCTTTGGAGTGGCGTGCTCGGGGGGAAGCGGGTGATGCGCGGAGGTGTGCATGCAGTGGTGTGCTGTGCAGCTACCAGCAGCTGCTGGGAAGGTGGCTGGCTGGGGCAGTCCAGGTGCGGGGTGGGGGGCTTGCAGAGGAGTACGTGGTGGGGTGTGGCGGGTTGGTGGGCTTGGCGTGATATAGGTGCGACGCTGGGGGGTCTGAGGCTTCAGGTCTGCTGAATGAGTGTGTGATTGGGAGCCTCCCTTTGCCGGTTGCGGGTGGGTTCGGAATGCGTGTGTGCTTAGGGAGTGTGGGAGTGGAGTGTGAGCGGTGCGTGGCTTGAGTTAGATCAGGCGGGTTGCGGCTGTGGCAGTAGGGTACTTGCAGCGGTGTGCTTTGGTGGCTCTGCTAGTTTGGCGCCAGGGGCCGAGCGACAAGGCGTGAGAGACACAACTGGCGGGTGAAGCAGCCGAGCGTGAGAGAGTGTCTTAGGCGAATGCGCAGAGGGGGCGTACGTTAGGCGGGTTGTGGAACCTAGGTGGGCTAGGTACTAGGTAGAGCGGCTTCAGGCCAAGACACCGGATCTCGTCCCGTGTGGATGGAGTATAGCGGACTGAGTATAGCCTTAGGCGCAGGTCTGCATAATAGCGTGGCAGGCTGCTAGCTAAGCCAGCAGATGGACACAGCGCGGAGGCCGAGAGAAGGGGGGCACCCCCCCAGGTCGCTCAGGTGGGTTGAGGTGTGTGTTATAGTAGTGTGTGGGGTGAGGGGCAGGCAGCACATCCGGGGCGCGGCATGATCGTTGTAAGGTGTAGGGCGTCTGTTCGGATTTTGGCGTCGTCAGCATCAGCAGACACGCCCCGAAGCAGACGCGAGCGGCTGCCTAGTGGAAGAAATGTGTCCCTGCTCCCGGCGTTTTGGTAAACTCCTGGTAACAGTGCTCAGTGTGGATTCGGTGTACTCCCTTCCGCGACCAGTGGAGGTCGCCACAAGCCACACGCCCACAACTCCGCTCGTTCCGCATGCACCTGGCTCCCTGCATCCTGCACCCCCTTCTCTGCACCGCGCACCCAAGGAGCAGCCGTACGCTGTCACGCAGCCACCGCCACTCCCCCTCGCGTCCTTCGTGTTAGGAACGCCGCGTTTCAGTTGCCCCTGCCACCCTGTGCCATGGAAGCCCCTACGCCGCGTGTTGCCATCCACCTCCTCCCTCCTCATCGATTTTGCCACCGCCACTGAGTCGCCATTACCATCGCCATCACACCGGCTGCTGCTCCCCCTGCTACAGCCCCCGCAGCTGCTACCCCGCCGCCCTGCACCCCCGCAGCTGCTACCCCGCCGCCCTGCCGCGCATGTCGGCAATGATCCGCTGCAGGTGCGGCTGCCGCTGCGAGGGACAGCCCTGGATGGACTTGAGCCGCACGTCCACCTGGGCGGGGAGCGGGGTAAAGAGGAAACAACTAACTAACCGTGTGGCGGGGGCCCAGGGGGTTTGGTGGGCGGGTGGAGCAAGTAAACAGGTGGGGGAAACGGAAGGAGGAGGAGGGGTGGGGTAACGAAATCCTAAAAGGGAGGCGTCTGGGACATTGTTGGGCAGCAACATAGCGGCGATGGGAAACGGCCCCCTCCCCCCCACCTGCATGTAGGTCATCACATCGCGGCGGTCGTAGTCGCGATCCGTCCACAGGTACCATCCCGGACCCGACACAGCCTGGGACAGCCGGCAGGCGAGCATGTTGGGGGGGAACGGATAGAAGGTGGGGTTTCAAGGAGGGCAGGAGAGGGAGAGCGGGTGGAGCGTGGATGGAGGGATGAACCCCTTGAGAACCTTGCCCACAACACAAGGAAATAGACCCGGAACATTGTAAGGGTCTTAAACCCAAACCAAACGCATACCTTCGCAATCTACATCCTTTCTCAAGAGCAAAGCCCCTCACCTTGGTAGCTTCGTAGTCCAGCTTGGGGTCCATGGAGTATGCCAGCATCTCCCTGACATGAGCGGCAGGAGCAGGAGCACAGCCATCAGTAGCGGCAGGCGGATGAGGATGAGGAGGACGGGGGAGGCCAGGACAGCGCTGGCAGGTAAGTAATGTGACCCGCGCATGCGGCAGACATGTAGGCCCCGACGACCACACCTTCTTTTCACCGACGAGGCAGCGTCACCCGAGCGACCTCGCAACCCGGACGCACACACCAAACATGCTCGCATGCACATGCAAGCCACCACCTCTCCCATGCGCCGCGACCCCAGCCCCGTCCTGTGTACCGAGCGACCTAACTCGTAAACCCCTCCAACACCAGCACCCCTCCCGCTCACCCTTTCCTAGTTCCATTGCTTAGCCCTAGCTTAAGATAATAGGATTCCTACGGTTTGGTCGCTCTTTCACCCCCTCACCCGTACATCTCTACCGGCCAGCGCAGCACCTGCTCCCTCCGCATTAGAAAGGAGCCGCAGCAGCTCTTGAAGGCGTGGTGCAGGCGGCGAGGCGAGGCGCGCCGCCTGGAGAGCGAGCCGCTGCCGCCCCCTGCCTTGCCGGACCTGCGGTAACGGGAGATGAGCGACTGCAGCAGCTGTGGGGAGGAGGGGCGAGGTAAGAGGAGGGTTATTGGGGAGGAAGTGGGAGGAGGGTAGGTGAGGAACCTTACCGGGCGCAAGGATTGGGTCTTGTACTCCTCCTTCCTTTCCTTTCTTTCCCTTGCCTTCCCTTCCGTTACCTTCCCTTCCCACCCCGCACCTGAGCTGTCTCCTCCCGGCTGGCCCGCTGCTCCCCCGGTGGATACTCCGTGGAGATGTTCCACATGCCTGCAGACCTGGGGTTGGAGGACAAGGGCTTCAGCAGCCACGCTCTCTGTCCATCCCTTCCCTTGTACCCCATAATGTTTTCCAAGGCCACCCCGACCCTAACCCTAACCCTTCCCTCCCACAAAACACACATCAGTTTTCTTACACACGCACACCTGTGAGCTGCCCCAGTGTACCGCAGCAAGGCCACAGGGTACGACGCCTCGCCAGCAACAACCACCTTGTTCTCGTGCCGTACATCATAAAAGCCATCCACATGCATGTAGGTCTGCCGTACGCCGGGCGTGGGTCCCTCGGTGACCCGTGGGTCGCGCTGGGAGGCAGTGCAGTCCTCCGGCGCGAAGGGGCAGATTTGAGGCGAGCTGGAGCAGACGAAGGTAGCGCAGCAGCCGCGAGCCCAACTCTCGCTGCAGCCGCTGCTGAGGGTGACCATCATGCTCGCGAACCTTGTGGAAGAGGGGAGGCGGAGGTGGTTAGGTTGGTAACTAATATGCAGATAGGTGGCATGGTAGATGGTCTAGTATGTCGTTGCCTGGTTTGAGGAGCCCCCAAGGCATGCGTGGTACCAACTACAAGGGACACGGCTGCGAAGAGTCCACGAGTGCTCAGTTGCGGTGCGCTTGGCTGGCTTGCTGGCAGTTGCGTGGAGGGCCCCGGTAGTTACCTCCCTTGCATGACTCTACCGGGTAGAAGAGCAATTGCCAAACCGCTCCGCTCGGCACACGTCACATCTCACACGCTCCCTTCACCTCCTCAGCGCCTGCTACATTCCGACCCAACCTCGCCTCCTCACCTCCCCTCACCTCTCAAACACGCTCGGCTCATGCTCCTTCCTCCGCCCGCCCTCAGCCCCCGCTTCCACCTGCTCTCGCTCCCACAGGCCGCGGTAGTAGCCCCGCGCTCGGCGGTAGAAGGGGCCACACAGGGAGTGACGCGAGGCGGGGCCGTGGTCGTGAGCTAGCATCAGGGCCTGAGCGGGGCAGCGGGACGGCGGGAGCGGAGGCAGGTCAGCGAGGGTAACAGGTCTGGAGAGGGATGCCAGCAGAGTCGTATGTCATTTCTTTGTTGCTTCGGCGTTCTGGGGGTGTTAATTCTGGGAGGCTACAGCAATCAGCATCATCGCACCAGCCACGCAGCCGCCGGTGATTGAAGTAGGTACAGGTATCAGGTGTAATGGAATTCAAATTGGATGGTATAGGATCTGGATCTCACCGCGGGTAGCGCCTGGTAGTGCGTCACCAGGTGGTGTAGGAACACCGCCGCCTCCCGACCCTTATTGGGCAGCAGGGGCAGTACCCGCAGTGTCATGTTGCACGGCAGCTGTAAGGCAGTAGCAGTACCGCTGACGTCACCGCTGCCGTACATGGCTGGAATGCTGGTATCGTTCGTACGGTAGTAGACGTACACGATGGCGTTGGTAAGGCCCAGGTGCCAGAGCCAGGGCAGCAGCTGCTCGGGTTCCGCATTGTACGAGGAAACCACGACATGTACGGCACCCGGGGGAAGTGCTGGGGCCTCACAGCCCCAGATGGGGTCAGCTGCAATGGGTGCGGGTGTGCTGGTGTCGATGACGAGGGAGCTTGCTGTTTGCTGTGCTGAGGTTAAGGATGAGCTTGGAGCTAGGAGAGCTGCCAGGAACAGCGAGAGGAGCTTGGGTTGGACTGGCATGGCTTGGGGCGGTGGGGTGTCCCGATCCCGCGTAAGTGTTGTTATTCAGGCAATAAGTGTGGCTACTTTGCCGGAAATGGATCGGACAGCCCTCTGCATGCTTCTCCATATGTTCTACATACAGTCCTCTTGGAGTCCGGATGGCAAGCCGATGGGTTAGGGGTCTCGCTAACGTGGATTACAGGTGCACGATTTTGAGTAAGGCTATGCAAGTAAACACATCTTCGAACGTCATCCACACAGTATCACTCTTGTTGCCTCGCATATGACCTAGTTCCGACTGTTATCCCTGGTGTACATAACCTTACATCGACAGATCGTATATTGATTTTCGCATTACTTGTGTAAGGACGGAGTAAAAAGACCTACCTGCTCGTTTAAACTTGCCGAACGCCCGTCGTACAGCGTTTACCCGCAAGCAAAGCCGGTAGGCTGCAGCTGTGTAGAAACAGTTAATAGGAATATAGGACCACACCCTTTATTGTGCTCGCGATTCGCTGGACAAGCTTACCACGATTTTGTAGGACGCTTGCACACCAGTCGTTACTTGCAATTACCTTATCTCTCCCAACGCTTATCCAGGACTATTCATCGCGCGTGAAAATGTTACTCCAACATGGCGTTGGACGCAATTTGCTATGCTCTAGCGTTCGCTTACAACGACCTGCCCACATTAAGGCGGTGTTGCCCTCTGGTCGCCGTGCCCGCGTCGTAGTAGCTACGGCTGCATTACAACCCGCATTCCCTTCGGGTCCACTACCTATCCCCAAAGGGCCGGTCAGCCATTCCTACCGCGAGGCGGAGAGCTGGCCAACGGCTGAGACGGTGAAGCTAGAAACCCATAACCTGGACGAACAACCCTATGTTGACCTGATTGTCGCTGGCGCCGGGCCCGCGGGCGTGGCGGTGGCTTCGCGCGTTGCCGCTGCTGGATTCTCTGTCTGTGTTATCGACCCCGATCCGCTGGCTCACTGGCCCAACAATTATGGCGTCTGGCTAGACGAGTTTCAGGTACGCGTACCCAACCCCTGCGCGGCCTGGCATAAGCAAAAGTAACAGTGTTCTGTGTCGGCAATGCGACATTCCGCCTGCTGACTACCTCTAATCCGGGCCGTGGAGACCCCAAATCCTTATCTTGTTATGGCTTATAACTTGCATAAGCTACATTTGTGCGAACTACGCAGGCGATGGGTCTGGAGGACTGTCTACATGTCATTTGGCCAAAAGCCAAAGTATGGCTGAACAGTGAGGCGGACGGAGAGAAGTGAGTAGCTGTTTGCGACATGCTAAAGTGAAGGGATTATAATCGCAAAGGCCATTAATGGGAGTGATGCAACGTGCTGTAGCCAGGGGGCTTGGCCGGTTAGGGGGCCATACCTCCAGCATTCTCTCCTCGTTGCATGATGGCACGGATCCGGTCAGGCCGTCGCACCTCTAAGTAACCCCAAATAAAACCAGCGTCCCTGTTTGAACCGGGGGCACCCAAACGTGTTAGTGGGCTTGGGAAACAGGTTCCCATGTGTGATGCGGTGCGATGTGATGAGGGTTGTTGTGGTGTAAAGTGGGTCATGGAGGAAGACGCTTTGGCGGTGGAAGGAGAGGGCCCAAATGCCCCCCACGGGCGCTTCCATGGGCTCCCTTCACAGCCACTCCCTGGGTCCTGTCCGCACCTCATCATGCGCTGTACGGTACCTGCCTGCAGTACAGCGTGCCGTACAGTTCAGCACCCTCCTGCGTCCGCCCTCCTCGCACCCCCCCCCTACCAGGTTCCTGAACCGCCCCTTCGCCCGCGTGGACCGCCCCAAGCTGAAGCGGGTGCTTCTGGAGCGGTGTGCGGCGGCGGGTGGGTGGCTGGGGGGCGGGGTGGGTGGGGGTGGGGTGGGGTGGAGCGGGTGGGGACTGCGATGGCAAGGCTAACCCACAGGGCCGGAGAGAGAGGGAGCAAACGACAACCTCTGGTAGCATCCCTCTTGGCCACCCGGCCGCTGCTTCCTGGAACAGTAAGGGAGCTCTCTCCGGTCCCCACCTCGCTCTCATGTGCCCTCCTGATCCCCTACTCCACCCCACTCCCCACGCCCCAGGTGTTACGTTCCTGCCCGGCAGTGTGAGCGGCTGCTCGCACGGCGGGGGGGCCAGCCAGGTGGAGCTGGCGGACGGACGCAAGGTGAGGGGCGGGTGGTGGGGCGGGGGTGGTGGAGTAAGGGTGGTGGTGAGGGGGCGGGGGTGGTGAGGGGCAAGGCGGGAGGAAGTGGTGGTGGTGGTGGTGGTGTGAGGTGGGGAATATAGATAAATGCGAGGGGGGGTGTGAGGGAGAGTTTGGGTGGGGGATTTGGAGGTAGGGAGGGAGGGAGGGACAGCGCAGGGAGCGAGCGTGGGGGGAGGCCCCTGAGCCTCCCGCTGCCCAGTGGTGGCGGTGGCTGTGGCTGTGGTGGTGGCAGCTGCTGGGCGGAGGCTACAGGCTACACACAGGGCGTGTCCAGCTGGCTGGTGCGGCCGGGGAGTGGGGCGGCAGGCGGAGCTGCTGCCGGGGAGGGCAGGGAGCCCCCTTCCCTGCCCCCTCCCCGCACATAGTGCATGCGCTAGGCATCGACGACTCATGCTACAAGGGGTCGTACCCCTGCCTCGGGCCCACCGCAACATCCCCCTCCCCCGCGCCCACCCACCATACACACACGCCTTGCTTTGCCCTAACTTGTGGTCTCCTATGGTTTGGTATGGTCTTTGACCCCCACCCCCCACCGTAATCAGATCCGCGGCTCGCTGGTGCTCGACGCCACGGGCCACTCGCGGCGGCTGGTGCAGTACGACAAGAAGTTCGATCCGGGGTACCAGGGGGCGTACGGCATCGTGGCCGAGGTGCGGGGGTGGGTGTGTGTGTGTTGAAGAGGGCTGGCTGGGGGTTGTGTATGTTGAGAAAACTGGCCGCGAGTAGGAACGTACTGTGATTGTGGTTGTGTATGTGTGTGTTGTGGAAAGGAGGGTGACGGAAAGAGAGGTGGAAGTCACGGTAGCATGCAAGCTATTCTTCTTCTGTCCGCCCCTCCTCCCCTCCCAGGTGGAGTCGCACCCCTTCCCGCTGGACACCATGTTGTTCATGGACTGGCGGGACGACCACACGGCGGGGGCGGGGCGGGAGGCCATGCGGGCTGCCAACCGCGCACTGCCCACCTTCCTGTACGCCATGCCCTTCACGGAAAACAAGGTAGGCGGCAGGGGAGTGGGAGGACTGGAGGGGAAATGGTAACGAGGAAGAAATGAACTAAACCTGGCTGGGGAGGGGGTCAAAGACCATACCAAACCTCAAGGGAAACACGGGTAAGGGCAGGGATGAGGGATAAGGGGTAAGGGAACGAGAGATGCATGGCTCTTCCCCTTACACGGCTCTGTCGATGTACCTGACCCCTTCCTATTCCCTCTCCCCTCTTTCTTTCTCCCCCCTCCCACTCCCCCCCAGGTGTTCCTAGAGGAGACCAGCCTGGTGTCCCGGCCCGCAGCGGGGTTCAGCGAGCTGAAGGAGCGGCTCACCGCGCGGCTGGAGTGGCTGGGGATAAAGGTGGGGAGGGAGGGGGGGGAGGGGGAGGGGGAGGGCTGGGATAGGCGGAAGGGCGGGGCAGTGTGTAAGGGGCCTCTTCAGCTTACCTCCCCCATGCCCCTCTGTGCATGCAGTTTCGCCAATCCCCAGCCCACACCCTGCTGTCCATAAGCCATGGCTCAATAATCCTGCCCCCCCACCCCCTCCCCCCAGGTTACCCGCATCGAGGAGGAGGAGTACTGCCTCATCCCCATGGGCGGTGTGCTGCCCACTCACCCGCAGAGGGTGCTGGCCATCGGGGGGGCAGCGGGTGGGGCGGGGGGGGGGGGGGAAGGGGGGGAAACTGACAGGAGGAGACGGGAGGAGGGTGGGAACGGGTCTTAACGGAGTACGCCTGAACTTTGCGGAGCCCTAATGAATCCCAGTTTCCAATGAATCCCTGCGACCTGCACTCTGTCCCCCCTCTCCCCTTCCCCCCCCTTCCCTCCCTGCAGGCATGGTGCACCCCTCCACCGGCTTCATGATGGCTCGCATGCTGGGGGCGGCTCCCACCGTGGCGGACGCCATCATCGACCAGCTCTCAACACCCGGGGACAAGGCGGCGGATGCGGGTGAGGGGCGGCGGGACCGGGCAGGGGGGCAAGGGGCTCAGAGCTGGGGGCAGGGGCTCAGGTATGGGGGCAGGGTGCAGGGGCTGAGGACAGGGAGTTTGGCGGCTGCTTCTTGCGCGCGGGCCGTTGCACGCGCCTTCCACCACACACACCACAAAATGACATCACCCTCCAACCCTGCAAACAACCCCTCGTCCTTCCCTCACCCCCTCCCACCGCCTGCACCCCCCCCTGCCCATGATGACGCCTTGTCACACAGTCAGTTAGTTGTTTCCTTAACTCCCTCCCCCCCTCCTGCCCCATGCAGGCGCCCCCCTGCGCCCCCCCTCCGAGTCCGCAGCCGCCCGCATGGCCACCGCTGTGTGGGCCGCCACCTGGCCGCTGCCGCGCATCCGGCAGCGCGCCTTCTTCAACTTCGGAATGGACATCCTGCTGTCTCTGGACCTGGCGCAGATGAGGGAGTTCTTCAGGTGGGAAAAGAGAATATCCGATGTTTTCCGATATATCCGATATATCCGATTGTGTTGTCAGGTGGGAGGGGAGGGGGGGGTCAAAGGTATATCAGAACCACAGGTTAGGGTAAAGCAATAGGTATTGAGTGAAGCACTGGGCTGGGCTGGGCGGGCGGGGGCGGGCTGGAGCGCGCATCTGTACTGCAGGTACGTACCGATATTATGAGGGAGGGCTCCGGCATATGCATTGTCCTTGTCGTTGCAGTCTGCTCAGAATCTGTCTGTTATGGGTAGTCCTACCAATTGCATCATCCGTACCCTCCTCCTCCTCCTCCCCTGCTCTCGCACCTCGATATGGGATTGGGACTCCAGTTGCTGCACTTCTCATTCCTTTTTCCCACCTCGGTCGCCGCAGGGCCTTCTTCAGCCTCAGCGACTTCCACTGGCACGGCTTCCTGTCCACCCGACTGTCCTTCTCACAGGTGGGGCGGGGAGGGGGGATGAAGAGGGCAGGGTCGGCTGGGAAGCAATGGATGACCCATGGGTCGGCCTGGGCGGATGAAGGATACATTTCTGCAGACCTACTTCTCATGGTGCTGTTCGAAGGGGACGGACGCAGACCAAGGCAAGACGCAGTTCTACACGCATATAGCGGCACTGGCACTCAGTCGCCCTTTCGCTCCCTATCTTCCTGTCCTCACTCCACCCCTCCCCCCCTCCCCTCCAACCCCCAACCCCCCGCAGCTCATCGCATTCGGCCTGTCCCTCTTCCTGCGCTCCTCCAACGCCGCCCGCTCCTCGCTGCTGCGGCTGGGTGTGCCGGGTCTGCTGGTGATGCTGGCGGGTCTGCTGCCCACCCTGGCGGCTGACTACTACCCGGGCATGCAGTCCATCAAGGTGTGTTAAAATAACTGGCCGCGAGGCGAAACGTACTGTGATTGTGATTGTATGGGGGGAAGGGGGGAAAAGACCATACCGAACCATAGGGAAAGAGGAAACAGCTAACTGAATGTGTGATAATGCATCATCACGGTTTTGGGTGGGTCAGGATAGTGTCTCCACATGCGCCCACTGCATGAGTCGGGATATGGGATTGGGACTCGTTGCTGCACTTATCACTTATTTTCCTGCCTCCAGGAGCGCAAGGATGAGGTGGATGCCGCTGCTCGCCGAGCCGCGCAGCTCACCTCCTCCCTCCCACCACCACCACCCTCATCCCCCTCCTCATCCCCACCACCACCAGCGGCTCCAGCCGCAGCACATGCGGGATCCGCCTCCACAGCCGCTTCCAAATGATGCAGATGGTGGTCATGACGACGATGATGGTGGTGAAGTGGCGGGACGGGGTTTGCGCAGCGCAGTGGGAGCAGCTGGCACGGGTCTTCGCTGACTGCGGTCTGAGGCGGAGGGTGCTGAGAGGTGCTGAGGGCGCCTTCCAGGAATCAGAGAGGAGAGTGTAGACAATAACAGAGAGGGATAGAGAAGAGAGGGAAGGCGAGGGGAGGGGAGGGGGTGCTGGAGGGTGCAGGAGGTCCGCTGCAGCAACGCACTGGGGGTCCCTGCTGGGAGGAGGGGGGCAGGGGGTCATGGGAGGTGGGCAGCCGCTGCCCTACAATAGCAGGGTGTGCGGACAGCTGCTGCTAGTGCTGCTGCTGCTGCAATCGTTGTTATGTGGTGTGGGAGCTGCCAACAGAGGTACACGGCGCGCCCCTGCTTTCGCTTACGGCGTGCAAAGGTTGAGCAGGTGTTTAAGGGCAGAATAGCAGGGCTGGAGAAGGAATGTGGATTGGGTGGAGCTCGGTGGTGGGCACATGGGGAGCGATGCAGAGAGCGGTAGGGAGGGTTCGGGGCCCGGAAGAGAGCAAGGCAGGAGGAGAGCAGCGGGGACAGTAGGCAGGGTGAGATTACGATAGCTTGAGTGGAACAAGTAAGATACCAGGGAAAGAGAGAGAGGTGGTGTAGGTTTAAAGTAGGCCCAGAGTGGAAGGGGCTGATTTCGTATCATCAACAGCAACGGCAGCAGGGGTGGATGGCTTCTGAGCATGTTCGGATTCTATTTCCCACGGGACGAGACAGTGACAAGAGTCGGTGTGGCCTGAGCAAACCCGTCCCATACATGCAGAGCGCAAGTGAAGGTCAAGGGGGTCTTGACTGACGCAGTGCTCGGTAGGGTGGGCGTGTGTCAAGGCATGTGCGGGTGACGTGGTGCTTCTGTGTGACCTTTGCTTGACTGCAAACGCAGGGTGGGCATGCACGCGCCATTGATGGGTTGGATGCATGACGCAAGGTGTATCAACACTCAGCTGGTATGAGGATGAGGAGCAGGACAGCAGCTAACGCTGACGCCAACAATGATTAGGTGCCGCGTTCTGCTGACTAAAGCATCTGTAAGGCAGGGGTCTGAACCTTTCCGTCCTGTCCTGTGCCCCAGCCATTCCACAGCGCGGGGTGCTTGCATCGGGTGGTTACACCACTTTGGCTTCGTCGTCCCAATCCTCCCACCTCTCCCCCCGGTCCCAAACCCCACCACCCCAGCCGCACGGTCAGAGGCGGGCATGAAGGAGGTTGAGGGGGGCATGAAACGAGCAGGGGGAGCATGCATTCTATGGTTGCTAGCCGCTCCGGCTGCCATCAGCCAGGCTGCACATGTACATCCTCCAGCAGCCGCAAAAAGCCCTTATTATCGCCTCTTGGTTCATGACCGCTGCAAAAGGGCAAGCTTGCTCAGCTACTTCGTTCAGCTGCAGGAAGCCGGCGGCGCCAGTCTCACTTGGTCGGTCCGACCCACGGGTCATCGTGACATCCAGGTGCTTGAGGCTACCCGCCGCCAGTGTGCTCCCAGCCAAATGTTCTAGGGGGCGGCACCGTACGGCAGCTTCAGGGTCTCGAGGGTTCCCCTCGCTCCCCCCTTAGAGTCCCCCTTCCAGTTCTGTTAGGACTGGTACGGTAGTCAACCCAGGAGAAGGCGCCTGCAATATGACCAGTATCCGGGAAACCAACTAAAGACGCCAGAAAGACTTTCGTCCCTAGTATCAGTTGCGATGCCCCAGGAACATTCTGCTCTGACTGGTAAAGCTTTGATAGTGATAGATAGTAGGCCGCCCAAGCTAGGTAGATAGCTGCCCAAGCTAGGTAGATAGATAGCAGGTAATGACGCTCGTCTTGGTCGTAGCTCTCCTCACCAGAACACTGCAATACCAGTCATACCTTCCTAAGAAATAGTCAAGGTACAAGCAAGGAGGCTACGACTAGGCAAGGCTGGTCCAACCTGGAGACATACTAAGCGTTGTGCTCCTTGCTCCGCACGACACGGGGGGCTTCTCCATATTGCATGTAAAAGAAGTTAAAGAACCCAAGCAGTGCTGCCCCACATTTATGAGGCATACCTGAGGTGCGGCGGAGGAGCAGTCCTACATAGGCGAAGGTGCCGTACGTACTCCTTACTGGTTGGTCCTCCAGTGTAATCCTCGCCTCCTAATGCCGGAGTAGCTGGTTCTGCGGCGTTAGGGATGTTGAACACACGACCCCAGCAAGCACAATCGCCCAGCTTCCTTTAGGTAGTTCCACTTGTTAACTCAACTTTCAGGTATTGCAGAACCTAGGCATTCCCGTGAATGTGCTTCCTTCATCCCCAAATGGCTTGGTGTAGGTGTCCCGGTTAACGTGCTTTGGGGGTATTCCGTATTGCTATTGAAGACCCTTTCCTTTCCGCAAACATTTACGGCTGCATTGTCTGGCGAGCGCCCCTTTGCCATACGTTTCAGGTTTTACACACATACAATTAACACCCTATATTGCATGAAGAAAGTCATGGTGTAGTGCATATGAAAGGCTGGTTTCACCGCTATTCCTGATAGAAACAGCAAACAGGTCCCTTATGACACTTAGCTAGGAGCGCGAAGCGTACGAGAATCTTGTAGTCGGTTTTGCTAAGTTCCCATAGTTTATGGAGCGTAGGTTACAGATGCTATCTATGAAGAAGTTTGGATCCGAGATCCGGCTTCAGTTTAAAGACGAAAAGTTGTCTACCCGTGCAATGCTGCGCCCTGCTGCGTCCAAATGCTGCGTCCTGCTGCGTCCTTCTCTGCAACTACAGAACAGGGATGATCAACTATTGTGAGTCAGATCTATACTACTAATGTGATTGACAGTCCTATACCTGTCATGGTATACCTGTAATACCATGGCTGAGGGGTCGAAGATATCCTTTTATTGTCCGGAAGGCTGCGGCTGGAGAACGACCGCCGCAGAGGAAATCTTAATTTCGGAGAACCGCGGTAACCGGCGGGTAGCATATAATGGTGGCCCAGTGACGTGCAACCAGGTCGGCAAAGGCAAAGGGCGCGCATTTAGTGCCTTGCGACTGCTTGCTCGCTCCTGCTTCTCCCCTGTGCAAACAACCTCGCCCCTTCTCCCACAGAGGCTGACCGTCTGCGCATGGTGCTGGACCACGAGAAAACCCGGGCAGCTGCTGCAGAGGCCGCACTGGCGGCACTGGCGGCGCAGACTAACATCTCTAACTCGTTGATGCGCATGTGGGTATGGCTAGAGGCCGGTCTATCTGGGAGCCGAGTTGGGAGGTTCTTCTAAACTAAACCCGTCACTCTCCTGCAGGCTGGAGAAGTCAGTTTCGGAGAGTCAGCTGGATAAGGAACAGATTGCAAGGAAGGAGGCGGAGGCACGGGCGGCGGCGGAGGCACGGGCGGCGGAGCTGCAGGCGCGGTGCAACAGGTGAGAGGACGTTGGGGTTGGGTGAGGTGAGGGGCGTGGGTTTGGATATGTAAGCCGCAAAAATAGCAGGGATACGGATTGCGGTGATATCCGGCAAGTTATGGGCCAAGAATTACCCCGTGGGGTTGGTTTTGCTCTCAAGCTGCCTATCCACCTTTTCCTAGGCTTACGGAGCAGCTTCGTTCAGTGGATAAGCTGCAAAGTCAGCTGGCTGTGGAACGGAGCGGCAGGCTGTCGGCGGAGCAACGGATGGAGGCGATGAAGGCGCAGTGCATCAGGTGAGAGGAGGGTGGGGTGACGTGCGGGAGCGTGGGTTGGGAGCATGGGATAAGTGAGGAGCCGCAACAACAGCAGGGGTGCGGAATGAGAAGTCGAGCGGCAAAGGAGCGGTGCGAACATCCCATGATGTCCCGTGTTATTATTGGGTTAGCTACCTTCCCACCCTCACACAGGCTGGCGGGGGAGCTGAAGGCATCCAAGGCGGCGGTTGCGCAGCTAGCGGAGGCACGGGCGGCGGCGGAGGCACGGGTGGCGGCGGAGGCACGGGTGGCGGCGGAGGCACGGGTGGCGGCGGAGGCACGGGTGGCGGCGGAGGCACGGGCGGCGGCAGAGGCAAGGGTGGCGGTGGAGGCACGGGTGGCGGCGGAGGCACAGTACAGCGGGTGAGAAGAGGGACGGGGTTGGGTGAGGGAGCGTGGGGTTAAGTGAGCCAAGCCGCAGCATAAGCAGGCTTTGGGAATGGGCAGCCGAGCAACAGTGGAGGGGTACAGGCTGCTCCGTGAGGTTGGTATTTTGTTCCCAGGTTACTACTCCGCTCTCACATCACCCGTTGGCCTCCGCCGCTCCCCAGTTCCTTCTTTTGCAACGTTCCGCTTCCAGCAAAGGCGGCAGCTATGCCAGCGGGAGAGCCGGCGGAACCAGCAGCCAAGACAGCCGCAGCCGTCACCGTAGCGTCACATGCAGGCGTGGTGGCGGGTGCAGTCGTGGACCCCAGGCCTGACCTACCGGTGGCGGAATCGCCGCCGTCAGCGACAGAGCAGGAGGCAGCCGGCACCGCAGCGGCTGCTGCTCCTGCAGCACTGGTGGAGGCACAGCACGTTGCACGGGCGCCAGCTGGCGCCTTCGCTGCTCCTGTTACCGAGGCGGGAAGCCGCAAGCGTCAGGCGGAGGCGGGCGCGGGTGGGGAGGCACCGGCTGGCGCGGAGGGCGAGCCAGCAGCAGCAGCCGCAGCAGGTAGCGGTACGGGACGTGGTGGATGGTCCGTGCATGCATACAGTTGTGTGGCCCCAGGCGGTTGCTGGATGGGTTGTATAGCTTTCTGCATCCGCATGCCAGTTTTGATCCGCACATGTGCTATGGAATGGTACGAGAATGTGTTTCACTTCATGCGCAGCTACTACTGCTGCGCCGCATCCCTGCAACCACCAGTGGGTGGTTGTTGGAGTTGTCCGCTTGAGGCCTAACCCTGCCTGTCCTGCATGTCTCCCCACCCTGTGCAGTTGCGGCTACGGGCCCTTGCACGCAAGCGCCCAAACGTGCGAAACAGGAGTCGCAGGAAGCGGTGGAGCAGCAGGCGGTGGACGTGGACGACGTGGATGGCGGGGCCGAGGGTGTGGAGGAGAAGGAGGCTGGGACATCGGCGGGCCAGGTGGGGACGAAGAGACGAGCGAGCGAGGACGGGCAAGCTCAGGAGGCGGCGGTAAGAAAGGTGAACGAGGCGCAGGAGCAGGAGGATGATGATATGGATGGGCGCTTCGAGCTGGATTTCTTTTTGCCGCCATCCGCCGTGTTTACGGCCAGGGAAGGGGAAGGGGAAGAGGAAGATTGTGGTAAACGCAGGACGTAGGACGATGCCTGCAGTCGGGAGCTATGTGTTTGGTGCCCCATGCGCAGCTCCTGGCGCAAGGACTCCCAGTTCAACTTACAGGTGTGTTGTTGAGTAGAACAAGAGCAAGCAAATGTGTGTTTGGACAGTGTATGTCGCCACCTTAAGCGTGCGGCTCCAGGTCCCTTAGGCCGCCACCATTGAACTGCAGCCTGTGGGGCACCGGTGGTTGTATGCGCTTCCTCCCTACGCTACCAGGACTGACCGTTTGTATAGGGATTGTACAGGAATGAGTCTACTAAAGGCACCAGGGCGCCAAGCCCGCCTATGTGCAGGTGATGATTCAAGCGGAAATTAGCCCATGGCCAGCTACCCTAGGGTACCGTAGTAAACTAACGACGAACTAACACTTACAACTTTAGACAACCTTTGTTGATGGACGGCCGGGTGTCCCACCCCCTCCGGGGCAATACCAAGCCATAGCTCACCAGCTCGAACCAGCCATTACTAGGCTGGTTGCGCTGGCGTTAAGAATAGGTTGTATAGCTTATTGAAATCGACCCATGGGTCATCGACCAGTTCGTGACGACGGCTGTCCTCCTCCTTAGGGGTGATCTTCATAGCTCGTGAGCCCAGTCGCATCATTGCAACTCCAGCTGTTGCTCAACAGTGAGTGCGGGAGGGGGTTAAAGGGGGAGGGTGCCCCTCCCCCTCCGACTCGATTTGTTTTGTGAAAGAAGGCTGCTTGCATGCGTGAGTGCCGCATGGGCGGGAATGCGGGGCTGGAGAAAATGGCTGCGCCTGTTCATGGCTGCGAAGTGCCCCGGCTGGCCGAGATGCATTGCACCCGCTTCAACGGTCACAGCACCCACTTACCATGGCGGTTAATAAGATAACCGCAAGGGCAACAATGCTTGCTTGCAGCAGACGTCTACATGCATGCGCACAGCTACAATTCCGGCGTTGTGTCCCGGATATTTTCATTGAATTGCAGTACATGAGGGACACCATCAGTATTCACGTTTTTCATTTTGCCGCGACGCGCGACATTGCCTATGACAGCCGCACAACCCACGCAGCAGGGGTGTAGCTCGTATGTATGTTGTATGGCCATTCCGCTACTTTGCAAAAATAAGGAGAAGCCCCTGGCGACTACCCTACCGAGATCCCTAGCGACTATAGTACGGGTAAAAGCGCTAACAGAAGCCTCGTATCTGGAAAAACCATGTTTAAGAGTTCTAAACAGCCAGATGGGCCCTCTTCTCAACGCCACCAAAAGACATATGAACATATACGCACCGAACAGTATACGTGCGTGCTCCTCCCCATCTTTCACTATATTGTACGACCAGCCCCCACTTTGTACGGCAGACAATTGTTTCCGGAGAAAAAAAGGTAAAAAACCCACAACAGCAATGAGAATTATGTACCGTGCTCGTGGCGGCTTGCCGGCCATGTAACAAAGGGTGGCGTCAATGCCACTGGAAAGCTAATCAGTGCTATAGCTTGCGCCTTGATTGTGGTAAAACATGTCCAACCTGCGCTACCTCCTTACAGCATACACCCCGCACCTCGAGGCCTAAACAGCATCACGACAGTAACAGGGCTGCTGCAGGGTCCGACGAAGCACAACGCCAGGGGCGCGCACTTCTGTTATAGCTTGAGGCGGGTGTCCGTTCGTTACTCGGAGAGCGAAAAGTGGTTGTTGGCACGATCGGTCGCACCATATGCCAAGCCCCATACCTATATGCCTTTTCCCCATAATTGACTTGAATAGTCCCAAGTCGTACCCACGTGACTGTACACAACACCATGAACGCTGTACGGCGACACAAACGCACACATTCTGACACGGCTATTATTCAGTTCCCAGTTTCGTTAGCATCCGGATTTCTTATAGCCATACCCGACACACGCATTTACCCCAGTAAACGCCGCGCGCTCAAACAACCGTTAGAGGATCAAGACCAGTAGCACCTTACAGCTTCAGCTCTCGGATCTGTAACCAACCGCCAACGGTTTCGCCAAAGCCGCCAACCGCCACAAAAAAGACCGGCACCCGGCGCGCGCCGCTTCGCACCCTTCATTTTAAAACGTGCGCCATAAGGTATCGTGTTGAGTACCGCGCCTCACCTATTTAATGTCCGAAGTCCGAGAGAGCAAAATCCCCACGCACACTCCTTCCTCCTTCCTGCAAAAACGCAAGTGCTTCTCACTCTTTTGTGACTAGATAGGTGCTGGGGTCTACATGCTTTCCTCAACATGAAACTGCCCCTTCCAACGCCGGCCTACACATCACTCATGCAATCACCCCTCTCAAGTGCATGCACTCGCGGCCAGTTTTCTTAACACACAACGAACACACAGGCATTGCACATGCATGCGCTGGACAACAAACACACGCGCAGGTTACGCAAATTGTGACATGCAGACCCGCGGAAACTCACCCAGCGGAGCTGCACACATTCCTTGACATGCAAGACCAACCATGCAAGGCACACTTCACACTACACACCCCAATTTTCTTACCACACACGCAAATGGCAAGTGGCCTACGCGCTCAACACATCCGCCTCCAGACTAGCTGGCAGCGCACAGCGCTCCACAGGACTCTCCTGCGGCTACCCATGCAGCAGCGCACCTGCTGCTGGCCACATGCCCATTTCGTCAGCTCATTCACACATGTGCACAGTGCATGCGGCCAGTTTTCTGCCTGACACGAATCCGACTCGCGGCCAGACTAGGTAGACCCCCACGCATCCAACCTGCGCGCACTCAACACACACACAGAGACACGCATTCTCACGACGCACACACATATGCATGAAAACACTCACGGCACTCACACCCCCTGTAATGCTTTAGATGCAATTAGACCTATTTTTCGTATTTTTTGCGCTTCAGGGCAGTATAAGGCACCCAAGACTATGAAAATGACGGGCGCTCAGACACCGTAACAGCGGCTCTGGAGCTAACGCCCAACGCACTCCCGGCTACATGCACTCGCATTGCCGGGCGAATGCACAGCCGGCCCCATGCCACTCACATGTGCTCAGCATACACATACGCACACGCACACAACACACACATCCGCCTCTTACATGTTTGGCGGTTCTTTCTCCGCACATGTGCTCCTGCAAGCCGCCTTTGCAAACATTTGCACCGACACACGAATCAACTTGTAAAAAGGCCTATCAGGGGCGTTAAGGAGATTGAGTTCAAGCGTCACAAGTTGCATCAACACCACTCCTGTCGACAAATCCAGCCTCTGCAGAGAAGCGCTGACTCCTCAATTCCCAAACCAGAAGCATGCGCCTTTAGCCCGAATGCAATCAAGCAACAACACTACATGCTGACCTGTTCCTAGCAAGCCTCCTGGTAAGCAATTGAGGAGCTTCATTGCGCCCCGTCATGACAAGGAAAAGCCCGCACATCCTAACGTCTTGCAAGCACGGATCGGCCAAAGCCACGAAACGCTTAAAACATTACGCCCGTGCCTCTCCACGCTCCACTTACTACAGCACACTACCTGCCACCTGCCAAGCAAGAATTTTTTGAGGGTGTTATAATACGTTTGCGCCTAAGTACTGACACACGCGCATACAAAAGGACATACATACAACGTGCAATGCTTTACGATTTTTTTACCTGTGTTTGGCAGCACACCACCAGCAGCAGCACTCCACCACTCCCATCAACACAGCGACAGCACCACAAACACCAACCAAAAGCAGCAATGGTGCTGGTAGCTTGGGGTGCGCAACACAACAAAAGCTCACGCGCTCCCGTCTTCTTCCGTACGTACTGTGGACTCCCGACATGTACGACACATCAGCCCAACCCACCACCGGACAGCCGCAACGAAATCGCACCACAGCACCAAAACACGAGGCCTGCATGCGGTAGAAGGCGGTCCGTAACGGTGTGAACACACACCACGCGAAAAGTGACAGCAATCGCCGATAAGGACACGAACGGTATATGTGTGCTTTTTTGTTTTTCCGTCTTGCACCGACCTTGCTGCTGCTAGCCCGTAAAGCTGACACGACAAACTAACTGCAAAGCTGCCCCTCTTTTTTACTTCACCCATAAACTCGACAAACCTTGAGCGAAAATGAATTTGACGCATCAGCACACAGGCGCGAAAACAAATTGTGCAAAGAGGCCAATCCACGGGCAGCCTTCCCCTAGCTAAACTGCTCTCTTCGATGTCATGAGCAGCAGCAACAGCAGCGGCGAATAGGCACCCGAGGCATTGCACGGCAGGGTTAAGGAAACGTACAACAGTTGGTTGATGGATAACTGCCACGCCCGTGAAGTGAACCACGACAAGGGCTAGTAGAAGAACAACAAAACAATATGAGCTAACAAAACGGCTTTGGTTGTAATGTGGGTGGTTTTAACAACGTATTAACAAACGAACAATAAACACGCAGCGAGCACGGGAATGTACAACACAACCAGAACTGACACATTTGTTACTGATAACTGGTGTTAAAAGACCAATCCATAACACTTTATTACTTTCTCCCGCTTTCCGCCTTCACACACTCCACAAGGGTCCGAATCTTCAATGTAGGTTCAACCCGCCAACACCCTCCGACACACCAACGACAGTGCAAGGTCAACAACCTGCGGGGGGTATCTCCCTTTCATCATTCCTCATGCACGTTCTCCTCGTCAGCCGCACGTAGCACATCATCCGCCCTTCGCCACCACGAGGCCCAGCACCGATCCCCTCACAAGTCCCCTTCACACATCCACCCCCCCCGCGCCATCCAACTTCACTCCCCCTATGAGCGCACTGCCACTGTCAAGCCGCCGCTCTCCGCAGCGGCAACACCGCCCTCCCGACCCGCACCGCCCACAAGGCAGGTCAGCGGCACCACACACCCTGCATGGCTGCCGCTGCCCCCACGGGCGCCACTGTCGCGGCTGCTGTCGCAAGGGCTGCGAGGACCCTCATCGCGTACGTCCTCGATGGCAGCAGCCGTTACGGCGTCGGGGGCAGCAGCAGCAGCAGCCTCCGCCTCCTCCTCCTCTGCCCCGGCTGCTGCTGCTGTCGCGCCCATGCTCTCCATGCACTCCCGGATGCGGTCCAGTCGTGCGGTGGCGGCCTGCCGGGCCCTGCGAGCAGCCTCCTGGTGCGTCTCCAACACCTGGGGCCCGGGGGCCGGGGTGGGGAGGTAAGGTGGCGGGGACGGGGTGAAGCAGAGGCGAGAGGTGGGGGGAGGCGGTGCCAGCAGGCCAGCAGGTACAGCACTCGTACCACTCGTCGCACTCAACCTACTAGTCGACCCCAACCCACCGCCCCGTCCGTCCAAGGACCCGTACCCCCATAACTGTCTTCCCTTCCACACACCTGACTAACCGCCTGCAGTGCCGCGTCCGCAGCCTCCGCCTCAGTCGCCGCCCGGCTCGCCTGCCGCCCCAACTCCAGCAGCTCCGAAACCGCCTCCTCGGGCACCGCCCCCCGGGACCCGCCCGCAACACCAGCAGCGCCTGGGAAACTGGGCCCTTGCTGCCGCTGCTGGGGCTGCTGAGGCTGGGGCTGCTCTGGTTGTTGTTGCTGCTGTTCCTGAGGCTCCTGCGGGTTGTTGGTGTCGTTGTGGTTTGCGGCGGCAGCGGCGGGGTTCAGCAGCAGCAGCGGCATGGCGTCCAGGAGCTGTCGGGCCTCTGACCCATGGGTCAGCTCGGGACAGAAGGGCGCGGCGCGTGCGGCCACGGAGGGAAGGTCCGCGACACTGTCGACCCCGGCAGCCGGGTCGCAGCCGCCCTGGCCCAGCGGGCAGTGCGGGCCGGAGGGCTCACCCAGCCCTGCAGCTGCGGGCAGCTGTGGAGGCAGGGGGCGGAAGCGGGACACAGGAGAGGGAGGAGAGAAATCGGGTTAGGAATACGGCATCAAGCTAGAGGACGCAATGCAGGACAAGAGGGTAATGGAACCCAGCATGGCTGAACATGGCTGATTCATAGGTTGGTCCACATTGCTCCCAAACCCAACGATCCAGCGCAAGCCCTCCCCTGCTGCCGCCTCCCCCCCATCCCTCGCCACCTCACATCGTCAAACAGGCCGCCACCGCACAGCACATCTGCGGGCCCCAGGCCAAAGTCCACCTCCACCAGGGGGCCGTACTCATCCTCTCCCAGCCCCGCCAGAGCGCCGCAGCTCCCGCAGCAGTCCTCCTCGCCACCACCGACCCGTGGGTCACCAAACGGCGATGCGTGCGCGGCAAAGCCCCCCGCAGCACTACCACCGTACAGATAGCTGCCGTACAAGCTGCCCATGCACCCGACGGTGGTATCGCACCCTGCTCCTCCGTTCGCCGTGCAATCTCTGTGCGGGACTAGGTAGCTGTCCGTGTCACATCGTGCATTGGGCGAGACTGGCACGGACATGACGGGCGGAATTGCGGCGGCTGCAGCTGCAGCCGAGGCAACGCCCACTACTGCTGCTGTTGCTGCGGGGCTATCCACGCCGCAGCAAACCCGACCGGCGCTGCAGGCAGTGCTAATGATGTTGTTACCGCCTGCTGCCACACAGCCGCTGTAGAAGGCGCCCACGGGAACGAACCCCGCAGCGCACCCCGCATCGCTGCCACTGGCTGCCGGACCGCTGCTGCAGCAACCGCCGCCGGGGGCGTCTGCAGCAGCGCCCGCAGCAGCAGCGGCGGCGGTGGTGGTGGGGAACACATTGCAGCCCTCTCCTGCCGCCGCTGCGGCACCAGGAAGCAGCTGCACACGTGCGTCAGCCGCTGGCACTGCCGCTGCTGCTGCCACAGGCGCCTGCTGTTGCTGCTGTTGCTGTGCTGCTGCTATTGCCACCCCCAGAGGCGCTACAATGCTGACCCCAGGAGCGAAGCGAGTGGGCCCCGCTGCCGGCACCACCACGGGCATCGGCAGGGAAGCTGCCGCCGCCGCTGCTGCAGCCGCCGCCGGCGACAGCAGCACCCCTGGCGGCACCCCCAGCGCTACCGGGTACATGGCACCGCAGCTGGCGAGGCAGTCCTGCTCTACCCGCCCACTGCCCCCGCTACCGCCCCCGCTAACCGCACTCCCGCATGCCTCCGCCTCCCCCTCCGCCGGCCCCACCACCACCTCCACCGCCACTCCCTCGTGATGGCTGCCGGCGGAGGAGTGCGACTCCTGAAGGGAGGAGCAGTTGGGGGTGTCGGGTCGGGGCTCTGGGGGTGCCCCCGGGTTTGCACCCGCATCCACACCAGCCCCTGCGCTCAGAGCCTCTTCCAGCTGCTGCTGCAGTAGCTGCTGTTGCTGTTGCGCCCGGTAGTGCTGCTGCAGCTGCAGCTGCTGGTAGCTGCCGCCCCCCCGGCCCGAGAGCTGCTGCAGGTCCTCCGCACTCTGGGGGAACACGCCGGTGCGAGCAAACTGGGCCGTCTTGCTGGCCGCCATGAGGGCAGCCTGGGGTGGGTGAGGGAGGGCGGGGGCGTGGAGGAGGCGTTCGTCATGACAGGACAGGGCGTGCTTTCTGCTAGGCATAGTAAGGAGGGAGAGAAAGCATGTATGCATATGTTTCGCATGATATGGATGTAGGTGCGGATCAGCAAGCAACTACTAAATACGGAAAGAGGGTCACGTGAGGCTACGGAAAGAGGGTCTCATGTTGGGCTGTGCTTACCTGGCGCAGGGGCCGCTGAGAGGCCTCGTCAGCTGCTGCAGCAGCCGCGGTGCGGGCAGCGCTCCTCGCAGCAGCGGCCTCCGCCCTTGCGGCCTGGACACGTGGGGCATTGCGGGAGATGGCATTCGGTCAATATGGTAAGGGCATTTACAACCTGCCAAAGACGAGAGCTCAGGGTTTCGGTGCTTAAAAACCTAATTGGTATTGATGCGACTGCCTCACCTTGGATGTCCTCGACTGCCGACCACCGGACCCGCATGCAGACCGGGATGCGCTCACCGACGCCGAGCGCTTGTTGGCGCGCTGTTGCGCCCGCACATACCGAACGCCACAAGCGTTGCACAGTGTTTTTGGGCCTGCCGGTCCTTCCCGCCACTGCAACGCAGAAAAGGAATGCCATGCAACTCGCATATAAAACTAGCAAAGAAGATGAAAAGCTCTACGACAGCAGACGACATGTTCGTTTAGATTACTTAAGTAATCCCGGGGCATGAGGGCCTAGTAACCTGCTTATCCCGCTTATAAGTACCGGTACGCAAGTGGCTGCCAAACTTCCCGCAACGCACCTGTGGAGTTTGTGTTGCACCGCACTCCACACATGTGCGGCCACTGACAAGCTTTCCAGAGCGGCGCAAAGGCGCCACAGGCAGCTCTTCGGCCAGCTTTTGGCGCTTCACATCGTCGCTGTCCGCCACTCCTTCATCTTCGCCAATAATACCGCTTTGCGGGCGCTTGGCAGCTTTCCTTCCATCGTCCAACCCCAACTGTTCAACTGCATTGCATGTTTGGACGTCCGAAGCCCGCCAGGCGGGCATGTCAGTTTGGCGGGAGGCCTAGCAATGCCGCGCAATGGCGGACGACGACGAACGAAGCATTTAGAGTAGGCAAATGGCGAAAAACTGATGTAAAGAGTTACTTACGAAGCTCAGGGTACACGGCAATGCGGTTCTCCGCCTGCTTGTAGACGCCGCGGCAAAAGAACCAGTCCGCAACCGGCAGCGACTTAGCCACGCTGCAAGCCTGTAAGCAAATGGTGCAGGTAATGCACGTGCCGGCAATGCTGTCGTCCCTATTGCGCCACCCATGCGCACCTCTTCGTAGTCCACCGCCTTCAGCACCACAGCTTTGCCGCTAATGCACCCGATGGGGTTGATGTCTGTCTCCTCTAGAGCGACGAGCTCGCGCTCCCAGCCCGCGCTCTTGAAGTCGGCAGGCTCGAGGTGCGCGCGGCGCTCATACCATGCAACCTAGTTCACAGAGGTATAGAGAATTAAATCCTAAAATCTGGGCTTAAATTTGTCGGGCCCGCAGCAGCGGGTGTAGAAGAGCCGAGAGGACACGCGCGCCAAGTGCCGAGGCACCGCACTTTCCAAGGAACATAGCACAAAGCAAGTTACTTACAAAGTGAAAGACAAGAACTTCAAATAAAGGGCTTACCTCGACGCAGTGCGGGTCAGCTGCTCGACCAGTGGTATCAACGAAAGAAGCCAACACTTTGCCAACATACGGGGGGACACCCTCGTCCTCTGGATACAGGAAGACGTGGTCGCCAACCTTGTACTCAACGCCATTGAGGCTGAAACTTGCATAGTAAGTTCGCTCTGCAGAGCCTGAACTCATGGGCGGCCCGCAAAAGTAGAACTCAACCTGCGACGGACTTGACATGTTTTGGTATGAACCTACAGAAAGAGGTGAAGGCGGAAGCTGAATGATGATAAGTCAGGAGACGAATCATCATGAACGCACCTGCTGCCCGCACTCCAGGGCCGATGCCGTAACTTCCCAAGTCCCGAGAAAGGCCCCACTCAGACTTCGGGTTTATATCATGAATGCTTACAAGATCAGTCGCTGCCAAAATGCCATTTTCCTATGCCATCCGTTAGCCTTTCCCGCTGGGCGGAAGCACCGGGGGCGCGAAGCCCGACTACACCTGTTTACTACCGGAACATTGCATCTACCATTGATAAGATGCCACAGTCTACTCACGTAGGAAATCGCATAGTGGCGTGACATACCATCAAGAGCCAGTCAATGCCCCACATCGCTTACTCCGCTCCCAGGAGCAACACCTTCTTGAGGCGTCCCAAGCGTAACCATAATACTCCCACATCTATTAACCCCAATGCCAAGTCTTCCATCAGTAAAATGGACACCAAAGCACAGTCACGAACGTCAAACTGACACATCCGGCAGCAGCACACGCACCAAGGCGTCAAATGTCTCTCTCTGTAAAGGCCGTTCACACGAGGCGACATGACAAGCAAACACCACACTTCAACCTGTATGTAACCTCATCGCAATGCTTGCAGCAGCACCAAGCTCATGGTAGACGACTGCAGCCATGCTATCACAATGGACATCTCCCATGATACCGGCAAGGCCCTCTGTGCTGCATTGCGCCCCCCCCTAGTTCCTAACGCCTCCTATACCCTACTCCCGGGATCCCCTGTTTCTCTGAGCAACCAAGCAGCAACACCCAAGCAACCCGCCATTCGCCGACGATACAGCACATGTCCAAGGGACACCGTCATATCCCCATACCAAGCCACCCACATCCACTACAGCTGCTCTCGAAACCCTGTTGGCGGATTTCCCCCCAGTCCGCAGCCGCTGCAGCCGCTATCCCTGTATGTACCTCCAATTGGCAGCCGCTCTGCCTGCGTGTGCGAAACCGCTCCACACCACCCACCAGCACACCACCACCACCCCCGGCCCCTCGTCAAAGGTCCCGGTAGCAGCAGCAGCAGCCGCAGCAGCCCGGCAGCCAGCGTACTCTGGCACCCCCTCCGCGACCTGACCCCCCCGCCGGCCCCCTCCCCCCCGCACCAGCGCCGGCCTCCTCTGCGACCTTCGCCATCAGCGCCCGCGTGTCCACCCAGCTCCCGCACAGCCGCAGCTTGAAGGGGTGGGTGGGGCTGGCTGCCAGCTGCGCACCCCACACGCCCCCCGCTGCTGCTGCTGCTGTTGCTCTGCTGCTGACACGTGCGAAGGCGCATGCGCGTACGGGCTGAGCAGGCTGCTGCCTTCCCTCCCCTCCTCCCCGCCTCCTCTCCGCCACTGCCCAGTGCCGCATGCAGGACGAGCCCCAGGGCCTGAACCATCAAACCCCAGGGACGACATAGCTACGCCAACACCGCTGCTGCTCCATGGAAAAAGGTGCTCCCTGCTCCCGTGCTGCGCCGCGCACCCGAGCGCTGCATGGCCCCTACCTGCAGCGAGCAAGCGCGCAGTGCTGCTAGGGTACTGCTAGTGGGGTGGGGGTCAGGACATGGCCCCGGCCTCCCCGTCGGAGGGGTCAGTCGGCGGCTCGTTTCGGTACGCCTGGCGTTGGAAGGGGGGGTGTGAAAGGCCAGATTTACACCGAGAGGGGAGGTGGAAGCAGTGGGTGCATGCGGGCAGGGGGAGTCCAAGAGGGTTGTGCTGTTGCGCCTAACCATGCCAAGCCCCCGTGTCGTTGCCTCACCTTTGTGCCCCGTTTTGTGACCCGATCTGCTTGCTGCTGCGCCCGAGGAGGGGTCGGCTCCTGCGGCAAGGGGACGGGGGTGGGGCCGCAACAGCAGGCGGAAAGAAGTTGGCGGCACCCGCACCGGACATGCTCTACCACCATCCCGCGCGCCCCACGCATTTTTCTTATAAATTCATATAGTGTCCTTGGCCCCCTGGCTCGTACGGACACACTGTACACGCGTACAGACTGCAACTGTAAGTGCATCTTCCGACATTCCAGGACGTTCCTACTCGCGGCCAGTTTTCCTTAACACACGCACCTGCAGGCGGCCCTGCCCGTTTTTTGGCCCTCCCCCCGACCGCTTCTGCCCCGCCGCCCGCTGCTGCGACCGCACGTAGCGCACGCCGCAAGCGTTACACAGCGTCTTGGGACCTGCGGGAGGGGGAGGTGGCGGTGGGGAGAGGGATTCGTGCGGATGCTGCAAGGCTAGGTTGGAGGGGGGGGGGGCAAGCGTGAAGCAGTAGGAGCCGCAAAGGAGGGCGGAGGGCGGCGGGGGTCCGCAGCCGAAGCAGCACCCCCGCACTGCGCTGCACTGCATGTCAGACATGGCATGCATGCGGGGGCCGGGGCACATGCGGGGGGACCACTCCCAAACGTAATCCTTCCCGCCACCAGCAGCGCCCCAAGTGCGCCCCCAAGTCCCCCGACAGGGAGCCTCACAGGCCTCGGCAGCAGCCCTTCCATCCGGCCTATCCTCTTGCCGTGCCCCCCGGTTCCGACCCGTGCCGGTGGTTCCCTCTCCCCCAGTCCCCTCCATCCGCGCCCCTTGCCCCGGACAGCACCCGCAGCCCCCCGCCGCACGCACCCATGGGTCCCTCTCGCCACTGCAGGGGAGGGGGAGGAGGGGAGGGGAAAGGAAAGGGGAGGCGGGAGGAGGGCGGAGAGGGCTTAGGGGCTGGATATACCGGTAATACACCCTCAGGCAAGAAGCGGCACAATACATAGCCGCAGCCCCCTACCAAGCTCACGGTCCTCCAACTCCTCTCGACCAGCTACCACCCGCCCAGGGGCTCCTTCCACCGCCGCAGCCACCCCACCTGCTTCTTCTCTCCTCCACCCCGCCCCACCCCACCCATGCAGCACCCCTTACCTGCGGTGTCGACGTCACGCCGCACGACATGCACGTTCGCCCCGTCGCCTTCTGCCGCTTGCTGGCCGGCTGCTGCTGCGCCGGCGGCGGGTTGTGCTGCAGCACCCGCCCCGCCTGCACCAGCTCCTCCGCCTCCGATCCGGCGGCGGCAACCTCCTTGAGGCCGTTGGGGAAGCCGGGGTGCGGCCCCCCCGGGTGGCTGGGGCCCTCGCCGGCGGGGCGACCCCGCGGATCTAGTGCCTGCGGAGGTGGAGGACCGTACGGTTGCGGGGTTTAGAGCCTGTGAACCCGTGAAGCCTGCAGTTCCAGTCCCACTCCAACTCCCACCCAGCATCACTCCGCCCAACCCCAGGTGTGTTCGTGTGGTACCGTCCCCGCTGAGCTGCCCTACCCTGCCGCTACTGTCCACCCAGCTCCCACCCCATCCACCCACCCAGCCCCCACCTGCGCCCCGCTGCCGGGCAGCCCGCCGGGTGCCCTCAGCTGCTGCAGCGGCAGGTGGTCCGCCTCCCCGCGCGCCCCCTCGCCCAGCAGCCCCGCCCCCCGCTGCTGCTGCTGCGGCTGCTGGGGGCCGGGCGGGGGGAGGGCTGCAGCAGCGCCCTCCGCCTCTCCTGCTGCTGCGGAGTGGGTAGGGTGGTGGTGGTGTGGGGGGATGTTGGCAAACATGAACACGAAGACGGCAAGAAGTAAAATGAGCCCGGAGGGGAGGACTCAGAGAAGCGTCAGTGGGGGCCAGTAAGGGGAGCAGGCGCAACAAGCAGGGTGGTAGTGCAGGGATATCACACAAGTCAATATGTCGCCCATGCTAGGGTTGAGGGGGCTCTCCAGCTGTCCCCGGATACCACCTCCTCCCCCTCCACCTCCTCTTCCACCCTCCGCCTCACATGTTGCAACCCATGTTGACGCCTTATCCCTCAGTCAGTTAGCTGTTTCCTCTTTACCCTTCGCCTCCAGGAGCCCTTCCAGCAGCCCTTCCCGTCCAGCGCACAGCCACTCACCCATCTCGCTGGGTGTGTACGCCACAAAAGAGTTGGTGCTCTGGTGGAAGTAGCCCCGGCAGAAGAACCACCCCGCAGCGTTGCCGCAGCGGCTGCAGGCCTGCAAGCATGGAGCAGGCGCGTCAGCGGGCGATCTCTGTGGGCTGCAGGCTGTTGCGTAAGGCGGACCCCGCCGTACCTCTTCGTAGTTCTGGGCTCTAATGATGCGGCATTTCCCCGAGATGCACCCTGGGGTTTGTAAGGGAAGTAAAAAGTATGGAATTGGGATTAGAGTGCTTGCTTTAGGTCAGTAGTAAGTGCGAGCTATGGGTCATTAAGGGTATAGACAACTACATAACACTGCACAGGAACGGGTGAGTGTCATGGGTGTGTGAATGTTATAATGCTCGGCATCGCTGGTCTGGGGCACTTGCCTCCGAAACCCTGATAACCCGGAGCCCAAGCACGTACCAATCGGGTTAACGTCGGTGTCTTCAAGTTCAAACACTTCCCGTTCGCTCTCCTCGATGCCTCTAGTGCTTGGCTCCAGGTTGACACGCCGTTCAAACCATTTTACCTAAGGCACACGGGGATGTAAGTCACATCCAACCAGAATAATACTCCTCAAACACATATTAAACCTCTGTAGACACCTCTTGGGCAATATCTTACCTCTATGCAATGTGTTACCTCCGGTAGTGCTTCAGGCTCCACATTTTGGTCAACCCATGCTGCCAATATTCGTGCTATGTAGGGTGGGAAGTGCTCGTACTCGGGAAACAGAAATACGCAGTCACCAACATTATATGTTTGTCCGTCTAAGGAAAAGCCTTGGTAGTATATTTTCTTGTCCTTGACCTGCCGAGGGGGGTCGGTTCTCAGTGAACAGAGTTCATAAGCATAACGCAGTGCTATGAAAAGAACGATAAAAGGAGTATCGCTGAGTCGTCTTAAAGCAAGCTTACAGGAGTCGTCGTCAGTCATCCCCATGGTCCTCGCCAGCAACGGCCGTGTAAGCCCTAAGCAACTGTGCGAAACCAGCCAAGCGCACTCACCTGGCCTTCTCCGGCCCAACAGAAGAGTTGAAGCGAGCCCGACATTTCTATTCCGCGTTACGCTTTGGGCTGCTCCATGATTCGTCCGATCGCCGCTGCCGGTGAGCTAAGAATACAAAGTCAAGCGCAAAACTGTTTCGCTGTAAGCAATCGTATGTTAACACCACAAGTTTCCACCTAGTTGGGTTCAGAGGACGGCGATTACTCGAGTGTGATGATCGGCTCTAGTCTGGCTGGTACAAAGACAAGTCAGGGCACCGATGTCATTAGCATCAAGTGAACGTCGGTTACGAGGGCTATCTCAAACAGCTTTTCGCTCTGCAGAGAGCCATGGGCCCTTGCTCCGGAACCGTTAGAAAGGGTATTCAACACCTTACGCCTGGCCCATTGCTTGTATACTTTACCGTTCCTTGCGGTAAGAGAGTTAGTTTGCTCTATGATACACGACCACAATCCTAATGCGAAAGATAGTCCCGAATCATTTGACATGTTATATGGCACCGGGCGACTTCGGTTCACCTGCACATGTTCTCGCTGATGGGTAGTTCTAGGCGCTAGAGCCGGTGCTGGGCTCATCTAAACCGCTGTAAATAAGCGATTGGGCTGGCGCAATGAACATGCTTGCTCCCCACCAACCACCGGCGGTCTGGAAACGCCGACACCAGCCCAGCATATCATCATTCAACTAATACGCCCCACATTCCGATCGCATGACCACTTGCTTGAAATTGTCACCGTTCCGAGGTGCCAGGCCATCCCATGGGCCATCCCGCAGCCGCGTACTCTGCGCCTTTACAGTTGCCCCCGTCATTTGCTTTCGAGGATGACGTAGCTCATGCATGGAACAGTCGCAGGCTGAGTCGCTGACATGGCTCAACAGCCTACAACGAGTTGGAGGCAAGAACTGGCGCGACGTCGGCATGTAAGGGAGTTAAGAGGAAAGAAACGACTAGTGAACCGCGTGATAAGGCGTCATCGGCATGTAGGGAAGGGGGCGCGGGGTGGTGAGGCTACCTAGCCATGGCACATGGTAGGATGGTGGGCGCAACCCTGCCTGCCTGGCTGTCTGCCTGGCCGGCTGGCTGGCTGGGCTGGCGTGCCTGTGTGGTGGGTCCGATTTGCTAACACACAAACACACAAACACGCAAACAAACACAAGGCATGCGCCACCCTACTCCTGGGCTCCTGTGGCGCTCTTCTGTGGGGAGTTCATCCCCCGGCAATCACAGTACGTTCCAACTCGCGGCCAGTTGTCTTAACACACGGCTTGCTGCTCCCCTTCCTCCCCCAACAAGGTGCCCCAAGCAGGGCCCAACCAGGAGCCTGCAGTACACCGCTCCACGAGATCTCGACCCCAACCCGCAGCTTACTCCACTGCCCGTCCCCTAGACGCCGTACACACCAGCGCACGCGCCTGGTCACACCCACTCATTGCTTAACAGCACGCTGTGGTGTTTGGAGCGACAGCCCCACCCTCCCCCTTCACAATTCACCCTGACGCCTTATCACACGGTCCGTTAGTTGCCTCCTCACGCTCCTTGCTTCCCACCTCTCCACCCATCCTCAACTCCTCATTCATTCTCCGCTCCTCGTCTTCGCTCCCCGCACGCGCCCCTCCTCTCTTCTCAGATTGATTTTTTTATGATGCTGCATCCCGCGCTTTCCACAAGTAGCCCACCCCGCAGCCTCACTCCGCCCCTCACTCCGCCTTCTCACGCACCTCCCCATTGCTATTCCCCACGTCCGCCCCCTTCCCTGCCGCCCCCTTCCTCTCCGCCCCCGGCCCCAGCACCTTCCACGCGCCCGCCACTATCTTGGTGTACCAGAAGCAGTTGAGCGCGGCCAGAATCACCGGGAACACCAACACTGGGGGGGAAGGGGGACGGGAGGGGGGATGGAAAGTGAAGCAACCGGGAGAGGGGGAAGGGGAATGGGCACGGAGGGAGGGAGGGAGGGAGGGGGCTGGGTGGAGCGGGCAGGTATTGCAGGAGCGGGGCAGGAGGAAGGGCGGGGGAAGGGGCGGGTGGCCTCACTGGGGTGTCGGGGGTATTACCTTTGAGCACCACCTTGTTTTCCCCCGTCACCCCGAGGCTCCTGAGCGGAACACCGGGCATGCATGCCTACTCAGCATACAGCGGGCTGCCCCCGCCCCTCCGCCCCCACCCCCTCCAGCCACCCATTGGGACTCGTTGTTTCACTTATATAATTTTTTCCCCACTCACGCAGCGCCCTGGCCAGCGGGTGCAGCAGTCCCAGCTGCCCCCGCAGCCGCCACAGGGTGGTGAAGAAGGGCGGGAAGGTGGCCAGCCGCGCCACCGTCCAGGAGGCCAGGATGGCGAGGCCGTTGAGCACGTAGAGCGGGTGCTGCTTCAGACCCTGGGAGGTGGGGGAGGGGGATGGAGGAAAGGAACAGGGGGGTGGGAAAAGAGGAAGCTGATAATAAGCTGGATGACACGGCTTCACCAAAGGAAAGGACACGTCTTCACATTGGGTATTGTTCTTCCCCTCCCCCACCCCTCCACTCACCCCCTTATCCAGGTAGTAGCGTACGGCGATGAAGGGCGTGGAGAGCTCCGTGGACAGCATCCACAGCGTCAGGCTGTGCACCTGACCCACCTGACCCACGGGTCGGCCCCCCTCCCCGCCGCCCTCCGCTGCCGCCTCCGCCAGCAGCGCGGTGAGCACACACGCCAGCGACCCCACGTGGTGCACCACCATGGCGGGGCCGCCCATCTGGAGGGGGGAGGGAAGGGGGAGGGAGGGGGGAGGGAAGGGGGGGGGTTTGGGGACGAAGAATACCCAATGTGCTGAATGGGAGTGATTGACAAACAAGACGGCAAACTGGGGTAGGGAGGGGTAACATATGAGAAGTGGAGGAGTGGAAGGGAGGGAGGTAAGGGGGATGGAGCAAGGGGTTGGGAGATACCTATGAAGGAGGAGAGAAACGGGGGGAGGCAACAACCAAGGAAACTGGCGGGAAAGCGGCAGTGGCTGAGAAGAGAGAAATTGGTGGATACCTCATCCCCGGCCCCCTCCTTCCCTGTATTGGGATTCAAGTGCCTCCCTTCTCGCTTCATTTCCCCCTGCCTCATCCTCCTTCATCCTCCCTCATCCTCCCTCCCCCCCGCCCCCCCCACCCAGTGCTTCATGGTGACCACCAGCTCCATGGCGAAGAAGCCCGCGGACACCCCCAGCGCGGCGTGGGAGGCGGGGCAGGTGCGCAGCAGCTGGGGAGGGGAGCCGGCCTGGGGGGTGGGGGAGGGGGAGGTGGGAGGGGGGAGGGTGTGGAGGAGCAGCGCTGTGAGGTTGCGCTCGTCCCCGCTCCTCCGCCACCATGTCGCAGGGATACTAACTGCCCCTCCTTTCCCCCCCCTCTGTCCCTCCTGTTTCCTCTTTACCCCCCCTCTCTCCCCTACCTACATGCTTCTTCCCCTCCCCCCCCCTCTCACCCCTACCTACATGCTTCTTCCCCTTCCCCTCACCCCTCCCCCAGCTCACCCTCCAAAAGAAGTCCCCCCCCGCCAGCAGCCGCAGCGCCACCACCACGATGTACACCGAGTACACGATGTTGCCCAGGCTGGGAGGGGCCGGGGGCCGGGGGGCGGGGAGGGAAAAGAAGATGGGTGGAGGGAGGGTGCAGGTGGCCGGCGGGGCGGTGCATGCGAGGGGGGGGGGGCCACCGCAGCCCCCACACAGCAGCCCGGCTGCAGGCTAGCCAGCTCCACCGCGCCTATACCACTTATTACCTCCCCGCCCTTCCCGCCCTTCCCGCCCTCCCCGCCCTTCCCGCCCCAGCTCCACCCCATCCGCCATTCTTCCTTCCCATCCACTCAGCCCCACCTCATCCAACACATTGAGTATCCTTCTCCCCCCCCAACCCTGCCCCCCACTCCCGCCCCCCCACTTCCGCCCCCCCCTCCCCCCCCTCACCGGCTGTCCCAGTCCCGCTGGTCATGTGTGCTCAGTCGCCGGTAGCCCTGGGCCGGAGGTATGGGGGTGAGAGGGCAGCAGCAGCAGTGAAACGATGAAGGTATGAGGGGGCATGGGCAGTGATGGGGGAAACAGCAGATGCTGGCTGCATGCGGCCTGCTGTGCCCCTCATCTGCTGCAGCCCGGCACAGGCGCCCTTCAGGCGCCCCAGGACCGGAGCCACTCAGGCGCCCCAGGACCGGATCCACTCAGGCGCCCCACCAGCAGCTGGCGCAGGCCTCCGTCTGGAGCTCTGGAGCGAGATGTGGCGAGACGTGCGGATCGAGGTGCGCAATGCAGTAAAAGGGACCGCTGGTACGGAGGCCGTACGGTGGTGTGTCGTACCTTGAAGTAGAGCGGGGTGTAGTAGCGGGACAGCTTGTACGACAGCGTGAAGAGCAGGGCACTGACCAGGGCTGTGGAGGGGCGGGGCGCGGAGGGGGCGGGGGCGGGGAGGACGGGACAGAGGGGCGTGCAGGGGGCAGGGTTTGATGTGTCACTGCGAAGGATGGTTAGAAGGAGGTGCTGAGAGGATGGAGCGGGAAAAGGTCGTGCGAGGGGAGAGATGTAAATGATGAGTGCAACAAAGGTCATGCGAGAGGAGGGAAGGGATAAAGCGCAGATTGGGCGAAATAGGATGATGCAGAAGCCGAGGATGGCAAAATGTTTGCCTGGGCAGCTTGGGAGCGCGGTTTGTGTATGCTAAGGAGAGGAACCAGGGCTGCAATGCAGCTGGCAGGAAGACACTGCGGATGGGCATGTGCGTTGACGACGTAACGGCAACCGCAGGTTCCACAGCTTTCTACCCAGATGCACACCTTGCAACAAAACAGCTGGTGCAATCCTTTTACATTACTTTGCCATGTCAGGGGCCGGAGCCACGAAGGATGGCAAGATGGCCTGTGAATTGCACTGTGGATTACTCACCCCAGTAGGCGCTGATCCCAAGCGGCGTCAAGCTTGCGTCCACAGTAACTAGAGCTGCACGCGCCCAAGCGACATTTTGGTGAGCCTAGCGCTTAGCTGCAAAATTCAGCGGATACGTCCCACATCCTCAACCTACTCCTGCCGAACACGGTAACTTCGCCGAGGCCCCTTAGTACGCCTCCAGGCAGGTAAGGCTCAGGATGCTCCATAGTTGCGACTAGCGAAGTTGTAGGGGATGGTTAATGTATGGCCTCGATCATTGGCTAGATAAGGCAATGAGCTCTAAGCGTCGAAATCGAAATCAGGTCTCATTGCGATACGTTAGCCACATAACGTTGGGTTAGAATGCAGAGTGTTGCAGAGGACGACGACTGAGGCACGAGCTTTAGCA